GTAAAGTTAAAAGCAATAACGCAAGCGTTTTCTTGCAGAAAGATTGGGAAGCTGAGAAATGCTATGATAAGAGATTGTAACATATATACAGGTTCAGACACTACATCTGTGGGTATTTAAATCATTGTCAACGGAAAATCGAATATAGTTCCACGTTTTAAATCCACTTCAAATTTAGTTTTATGCAATTAATGATATATAAATACCGTAACTCATTTGCCAAGTACAGAGACTCATGTAGTTTAACTTTGAACCTGTTATATTTTGGTATAGCTTACGATAATTTCGAATAACGAACAGATGGAAGATTTCCCTGGTACGAACAAAATATATTTGAACTAGGTAGAATAAGCGACTAATAAGTAATATTTCAATAACATTCCTCCCTTTATGGTAGGGAAAAAGAATTCAAGAACTCAGGAAAAAAATTTGTATTTAAAGAAATCAGAATCTTTACAGGACAACTTTGTCTATATAGCAACACATATGGTCGTAAAACTTACAGCAAACATACCAATCGAATACCAGGAAAGATCAAGGGGAAAATATAAGTTACTGCAGACTCATTTTCATGTCAGAACTATCATTTATTTAAACCAAAAAATAGCTAGATAACTTGAGCTTTTCCTAGCATTACCAGATTGTAGTTGTTAGGATTACTGATACTGATCAAGCGATGGAGGTAAACGGGTTGGAGTTCGGACTTGTAAAATATTGGGTCAAACTTGAAAGTCTTAAACATAAAACGTTCACCTAAACATTTGTGTGTGGATTTCTCTCTCGCGAAACCATTGTTTGTGTAATGTATAATAATAAAGAAGGTATTGTAAAAGTAATTGTTCGTTTACATATTTTTTGGGATCAAATATTAAACAGTTATCTTTAAATGACTTGAGGATATAGTCATAAAATGAACTTATCGGAGCACTGAATGATATTTCGCTACTACATTTTGTTTATATGGTTTGTATATTTCAAATTTATAATGTGAGTTGCTATACTCATCTTCCAACTTCTGAGTTACAACTTAGAACTCGGTTTCATCTACTTCAGTTTGACGATCCGGGTAATATTATTACTCTCATACGATTAATATGTGAGCCAAGCCAAATATTCTAAAATTATACTTGGTAAATCATTTACATCATTTGTCCTATCAGTTAAAACTCAGTGTATACTGTGCTTTTAAAGGTTTTGCATCTTAATTTTAAAGTTGAAATTTATATGATTACTTCTAAGTAATTGTAAGGTATTTGTACAGGGGATCTAAATCCTTAGAGTAGGCAGAGTAAATGTAGATAATAAGGGTCATGGTAACATCTGTAATAATCAATATACTCAAATAGGAAAAAACATATAATAGTGGTATTACAGAAGCATTTTTCTAAACATTAAAACAAAATGGGATAAGTCCTGACAAAGATGGATATCTAAAACAACTCTGTACAAATAGTTCGTTTTTTCACATTTTTGATGAACAAAGCTTGTATAGTAGGTGTAAGAATTGATATCATAGAATGTCCGATTGTTTCTTATAAGTAGTATTAAAAGGAAGCGTTTGGAACTAAATAGTTAGAAATTGCTCCTTTTTTCTTCAGAGCGAATGACGAGATTAGTGTATGTTCTGTTTCTGTCAAATTCTGAGAAATAATCTTGAATCCGATTTGAAAAATTGTGTAGACAAATGATTTGTGTATCATCCGAAGTCAACTTATTTACCATAACGAGTATATTCCTATTGTTTCACTGAAAAAGAAATCGATTTATATGACTTATTGATGACGAAATGTCTATTCAATAGTGATTATCATTGTGATAAAAAGGGCGTTAATTAATTACTAATAATTGATACTTATATCCTTATCTATAATACTTAATCAAGTAGAATTAATTGTAGTTAGTTGCGATTGAGATTAAAAGATAATAAACTATACACTGATTACTTTGCATACCTCCTTTATTTCTCTCGCATTATGTACAAGGATATTCATCTTAATCCCTTTTAACATGTCAATAAGAGTTGTGTTGATTATAATAGAGAGATCATCACATTAAAAAACAAAATTCATGCACGCATATATATTTTGATGAATGAATAGTCTAAAAAATGTATGTATGATTGAAAGAGAATGATTGATTATTCGCAATGGATTTCATTCAAACCAAATCGTTATGGCATTTGGTATGAAAGGCAGTCTTCAAGTATTAAATTAAACAGCGTTAGTTATGATTGTTGCTTGTGGACTATCTTTTACGCTAGTAATAATAATAATAATTATTATTATAAACATGTTCCTGTCGTTGATATTCCTGACTGGACGAATTAATTGCAATTGGCATATGAGGCTGTCTGAACGGATATTTCGGTTCTACCTGTATTTACATGTTAATTATTGTTAGGATATTGGATAGTATTGAAATTAACTATTTATATTTATATGCAGTGTTTCCGTGCAGCAACGTCTCGGCTTTTAACGCTAGGTCTCATGTTGGAACCCTACTCTGGTTTCGACAACCATGCAATAATACTAGGCTTAACAAGAAAAGTATGTTTCGAAGTCAATTTTTCAAACACATATGTACTTGATAATTTAGTTAAGTATAAAATTCAAGTGATAAGATGAATTGCTTTAAAATCACTATTATTCCATTCATATTATTTACGCCTGTTATTTATTTATCTATTATTTATTTGAACACATAAATATTGGTACAAAGGGGCACCGAATACATATGCACCACACAACTCACTTGTTTTGTGTGTGGGCTGGGTACTGCCCGGGAGCTTAGACCGAAGCAGGTGGTTTTCTTAGGGGACCACACCTTAATCCTGATCCACAAGGCAATGGAGCAACGTAGTGAGATGCAGTCCCATAATAGCCGGTGATCAACGATTAGTTTGTACTCCATTTGTTCCTTCAGGATATTAGAGCTTAATTGCACCATTGGTTTGGAATGAGGGACATCCGCATCCACCAACCCGGTTAAAGCGTTGGATATTCGCTTTTCATCCTCTCAATTTTGTAAACAACACCCTGTTACCCATCATGGGGCATTAACCACCGACCACGAGTCTCCAACTGACTTTGTCCTAGGCTCTGCTTCCCGCTTGTTGCTAACTGCTATTCCTTTTTTTGTGTCTGCCTCGAATTCCCGATGCAATATGTAATTTGGTCTACCCCTTTCCCTTTTGCCTTGAGAATTCCAAGTTAGGACTTGCTCTGTGATGTAGTTTGGTGATTTCTTCACTATATATATCCTATCCAGCTCGAACGTCTTTTCCCAATTTCTTTAACTGGAAGCTGGTTTTTTCTGTCATAGTAGGTTATTGCTGATGGGTATCTAGTCCATGGGTCTGGAGTATCTTGTGTAGACAGCTGTTTATAAGTGCATTACTGTTTTTGTGGTGGTTGTAATAGTTCTCCAAGTTTCAACTCCGTACGATAGAACTGTCTTGATATTCATATTGAAAATTACGACTTTGTTGTTGGATGACATTTCTTTTTAGTTCCAGGTATTCTCCACCTTATATTACTGTAAATAATATATCTTGTTATTTTTACACTATAACAACTTGTTTATCTTATTCTCTTCAATTTGTAGTAAACAGTAATAGTCAGTTATCTTGGTGGAGTTTTGTTCTCTGAGCTGGATGGTTTGGTCGTGGAGCTTTCATCGTTCTATCTGAAGTTTGTGCTGATGATGTCGTTCAGAAGAACGATGAAAGCTCCACGACCAAACCATCCAGCTCAGAGAAAAAAACTCCACCAAAATCATCCACCTGAGCTACAAATCTTCTCCACCATCTCAGTCAGTTATCTTATTTATCGGGTACTTGATTATGAATAACACTCAAAGTGTGAGGTGTAATAATACTACACGGTTGCCCAAATCAAAGTAAAGTGAGGTGGAGCGGAGTTCCAATCTGGGACTTAGTGGATGAAAGTCGAACCCTGTAACCACTAAGCTAATATTCCTCCTTTCTCCTGTACTTATTTTCTCTTTACTATTAAAGCGTCAAACAATTGTTTATTTCTCTCATTTCTTATTATGTTACTATATAACAATAAAGTGTTTTCGCGTCGACAATTGGTCCATTTACTAATTTGATTTTGAATAGTTTTACTCTCATTTTTCTATTTATTGTAAAAATCCTCGTTTCGAACCAAAACTGGTGTGTTCGCAGTAAATGAGGTTATGAATCTATATCGACTGAGATGGTTGGGCCATGTATTATGTATACCCAACCACCGATTACCATGACGCACAGTGCTGACTGGTGTTGGAGACAGATGGAAGAAAGTTAGGGGTGGCCAAAGGAAAACGTGGCATCAATCCCTAAAGTCACTAACTTGTGATCTGAGCCATATTGTTAGATGCAGACTACTTGGCTGAGGTCCACGCGATTATCGTAACCAATGGTTGTAGACCCTGGGTAACATGGCTCAGAATCGATCACAATGGCGTTGGTGTATTCACTCTTTGTCTTCCCTTAAACCGTGAGATTGAAACTGCTTTATACCTTTATTTCTACGAACTAATTCTTCCTGTATTATATCTTTGTACACAATCTTTCTATTATATATTGCTACCGTTGGTGTAACTACTTCTGTGAATTTGGTGTTGATCTTGTTGTGCTAATGAGGTGTGGCAACTTGGACTGATGCATATGTGTGCCTTGTCCTATGTCGTAGCTGACTGACTGTATTCTTCAATTAACTAATCAAATCTAAGTTTTTAGTATTGTATAAGGTTTCCCTATCAGTTTGAAATGTGTGCATAAATCTCGGTGCTTAGTTTGCATGATAACCTGTAAGAATTATACTGAGTTAGTGTAAAGTGGATAGATAGAGCTATGTGAAAAGTACAAATCTGTCTTTATTATAAGTGAATTTTATGCGTTAGACTATCATTTTTTCCCTGTATGGTTTAAAGTTAAAGCTAAATATTATAATAATAAGGGATATTATCAAATATATTCCATTTATTTTAATATTTAGATTCAATTTTCTCTGACCGTTATGATGCAGATAAAAATAACAACACTAGTAATGTCACTTCCACCACTAATACTACTGCGGTTACTACTACGTCTACTTCTCCTTCTACTACTACTACTACTACTACTACTACTACTACTACTACTACTACAACTACTACTTCTATCATTATTAATAATAATTATTATGAATCAGATGTTAAACACTATACAAATACATCATCAACATTGAATCAATCCACCATAGTTTCATTATCACTGACAACAACAATAACAACAACACCGACACCAATCATAAATCAAGCCGCTTTAATTGCAGCTGCCTTAGCGAAAGCATCTGCAGACAAGACAATGAATGGTCCTTTCTCACTAATTGAACGTAATACTACCATACCACTTAATAATAATTTAGGAATGATGAATAATAAATCACGTAGAAATTCATTAACAATACCAAATCATAATATACATTTATCGTCATTAGATGATCAAAGTAAATTAATTAGTCAAAAAACTTCTAGTTCTGGTATGTTTATTACTATTATTATTATTATTATTATTATTATTATTATTATTATTATTATTATTTAGCTTTCGTGATTTTTGTTATAAGAACATTACGGTTGGTTGGCTAAATGTGGTATTTGAATTGCGAAGTACTGTTTTGAGAATAGAAAAAGATGATTTAATAGTGATTTGTTTGTTACTGTTTACACTCTTTTAGTAGTATAACCGAAATCTAATCTTAGATAAATTCTAATATTAACAGAAATTGTGGCTTTTACTTTGTGATATTTGTTGTGCTAAAAGTTTCCAAGAAGTAGTAGTAGTAGTAAAGTGAAAACCAATTTGTTGTTTAATATAAAATTACAGAATGTCTTCGTAAAATACGAAAACCATACATTAAATACTTCATTTGCATCTTCCATCAGTTGTCCTTTACATCCTTTATGATTCTTTCAATTCTGTTTTTATTCCGATCCCTTTCTGTTCTCTTCAGTGGTAGTAGTAGTAGTAGTAGTAGTAGTAGTAGTAGTAGTAGTAATAGGAAGCAGGTTTAAACAGAATATAACTCAAAGTCGAGTAGATGGACTTTCGTTTGGTAAATAAATTACAATCAGTGCTTTACAATTGACAACAGGAGAATGTGTCAAGATAGTGATGTATCGATCATAATCTACTTTTGGCTTATTCTATTAAACAGCTGTCTTATCAATATTTTACTTAACATTCTGTTTTTTAGGTCAGCTAAACTGCTATTCACTTTTAATGATCTATATACGCATAGGTTTGGTTCACCAACATCAGCGTCTGTCTGAATTGTAGCTGCACTCTAGTGTATACTTCATACATATAATCGTTTATTGTCGTTGTTGGGAACAGTTGGATATACTTACTAAACCTTATAATTATGTAGAATAAAGGTACAATTTAAGTATCTGTCTCATAAATGAAGAATTGTTCAACGAAATAAATCCGAATACTGTAAAACCTGGTTGTCATAAGCGCCACAAGTGAGATAAACACTAGATTACCTACCTACCTACGTATCTACCATATAGCAATATTTGATGAAATTATAATTTCATTTGATTGGGACATTTCAAAGTCGACTAATTATTTACGAATACATTTTGAAAATACCTATTTTTCTTCTTTCTTGAGTGTTATCTTATTTGTAATTCAAACATATTTATCTATGTATTCATAATTTGTTTAAATAGAAAAACACTTCATTGAACAAATTAGTTCAAATAATGAGCAAAGTCCTAATCGTTTTCATTCTTCAGAAGAATTTGATAATCTATTGGATTCAAATACACCTATATTAGATTTTACTTTCTCCGATGTACAGTATTGGTGTAGTGTCTTTTATTATGAATTAAATACTCGTGTTGGTGATGCATTTCACGCTGGTCGGCCAACGTTAACAATTGATGGTTTTACTGAACCGTGCTATCGTTCTGATCGATTCAGTTTAGGCAGCTTAAGTCATGTTAATCGACCTTTGCAAGTTGAGACGACTAGAAGACATATTGGTAAGTGTTATCTCAAAAAATTTTTTATTATATATTAGAGATAAATAAATTCATATGTATTCTAAGATTATGTGGTACATTGATTTATAAAGCGTTCGAATCTCATCTATCCCTTTCCGAATTATGTTTCCAAATCATATACTTTGATCTCATCAACTTTGTTACCTAATCCAATAGATAATGAAACATTAACAAAGGTTACATTTATCAAATGTCATATATTACAAATAATCTAATAATGTTAGGTGATTAGAGGTGGTCGTCAGAAAACTGTTGACTCAGGTTTTGTGCATATAATCAGTTGTTAGCAAGACTTACCTGGACGATTTTGAGTTGACTTACTCTCCTTGTAATAAATTTCTTGGTATTTTAGGGTCATCAAAATGTATTCTTATATATGGTAATGGTGGTAGTAATAATAGTGTTAGACTCTAGTGTTGGGTTAAATTAATGAGTCACTAAATAGCTTTATGAATCAATTCAATTATATAGCAGATTTTACCAATATATTATTACGTTGTATATAATTTACAATCATTTACCTCACAGTGGTATCCTTAGTTGGGTAGTGCGCTGTCCGACTGAACGGAACAGTAAGAATCCGGAAAGATAGGGACACTCTTCGTTGCCTCTTCGTCGTTTCTGTCTATTCTCCCACTGACTGCAGCTCAGATGATGTAAAAGATGAGTTTTACAGAAAGCTTTCCGATCTTCTCCGAAAAGCTAGGCGCTCTGATGTCGTAATAGTGGCCGGTGACTTTAATGCTCAAGTAGGTAAACTAAGCGATAGGGAAAGACACCTAGGTGGATCTTATGGTGTCGTGGCTCAAAGAACAGATAATGGCGACCGTCTGTTGCAGCTATGCTCAGATAACCACCTGTTCCTTGCAAATACTAACTTTAAGCATAAGGAAAAACATCTTTTAACATGGCGACCCCCGAATTTGTCCCAACGTTGGACCCAAATAGATCACATCGCTAACAGCCACCGATGGAGGGGCTCGATAGAAGACTGTCGCTCATTCTGGAGCACATGCTTAGATTCAGATCATGCTCTAGTGCGAGCGCGTATTTGCTTGCGTCTTACTGGACGTAGGAAAGACGCTGCAAGGAGATATCTTAGGGCCTTACTTAATGGTAGTCAAGCTAAGAGTATATTTCAGGAACAACTAGGAAAACATGTTAGGCAGCCATGTATGTGATGCCCACCCCGATGCAGCATGGAATGATATCCGAAAAGCTATGGAAACAGCAGTGATATCTGCTAGTACAGTAAACCACAATGTAAGGGAGAAACACTGGATCTCAGCAGCATCTACCGCACTGATAGATGCTCGGAAACTCATTCCATCTGGCTCCGAAAATAACGAAGAGTGGAGTCAACTTAAGCGCAAGCTGACAAGAAGCCTACGCACTGATCGCGAACAGTGGAGCGTAGCGAAATCAAAAGAGATGGAAAAGGCAGCGGCAATAGGTAATAGAAGACAATTGTTCAGACTTGTTAAGGAAACCGGTATTAGGAAACCGACCGTTAGCGAAACAATCTCAGAGAAAGATGGACATATTATACATTCTCAATTCAGGAGATTGGATCGATGGGCAGAACATTTTAGGGATCAGTTAAACTGGCCATCAGTCACACTTCGGTTTCCCATGATCTCCAGTCAACATGAATGGCAAGTTAATGTAAGTCCTCCGTCTCTTTACGAAGTTGAAAAAGCTATAGGAAATCTGAAGCGAGGAAGAGCAACAGTCCCTGACAGGTTTACTCCTGAGATTTTTAAGGATAGTGGTGCAATATTAGCAGTGAGATTAACTGAGGTCTTAGGTAGAATTCGGGAACTGGACGTAATCCCATCTGACTGGTCTCAATCACTGATTGTGCCAGTCTATAAGAAAGGACAAAAGTCCTCTTGTGACAATCACAGAGGAATCAGTTTGACTAATATAGTATCTAAAATATTAGCTTCAATAATACTTCGACGCCTAATCAAAGCTCGTGAAGAGCAGACTAGAGAAAACCAGGCCGGTTTTCGACCTGGACGTGGTTGTATAGACCAGATATTCACACTACGTCAGGTTCTAGAACACAGACACACATTCAGACGCCCCACAATGGTAGTATTTCTCGACCTTAAAGCAGAATTCGACCCTGTCGATCGTGAGGTTCTATGGCAGTGTTTGTCACTGAAAGGAGTACCAAAGAAGTACATTAACCTTATAAAGGCTCTCTACTCGAACACAACTGGTAGAGTGAGAGTTTATGGCGAACTGTCATCAGAATTGATTACCTCAAGTGGTGTTCGTCAGGGCTGTCCACTCTCCCCATTCTTGTTCAACTTTGTCATTGACGTACTTTTAGAGATAACACTCTCCTCATCTAAATTTCCAGGGGTTGAACTTCTACCGGGAGGTTCACTTGTTGACTTAGAATATGCTGATGACATAGTTTTATTTGGCGAAGAAGCTGACAAAATGCAGAGTCTTCTGACCACTCTAAGCAACAATGCAAGCATGTTCGGGATGCGATTCTCTCCCTCGAAATGCAAAATGTTGCTTCAGGATTGGGTTACATCGACACCCGAACTAATGATAGGGAGTGAAGTAGTTGAGTGTGTCGACCGCTTCACTTATCTGGGAAGTCTCATCAGCCCTTGTAGTCTGGTGTGTGACGAAATCTCATCACGGATACAGAAGGCTCGACTAGCTTTTGCCAACTTGAATTATTTATGGCGTAGGCAAGATATCCGTCTATCAACCAAAGGACGAGTTTACTGCGCAGCAGTTCGTCCCGTCCTACTTTATGGCAGTGAAACATGGCCGGTAAGAGTAGAGAATATTCGTAGGTTACTAGTATTCAATCATAGGTGTCTTCGAAATATTGCTCGTATATCCTGGGACCATCGAGTAAGTAACACAGTTGTTGGGAAACGGGTACTAGGTAAGGATGGCAAATCAATTGATGAAGTAGTGAAACTTCGTCAGTTGAGATGGCTGGGACACGTGTTACGTATGCCCAACGACTGACTGCCTCGACGAGCGATGTTCAATGGTATAGGAGTAGGTTGGAAGAAAGTTAGGGATGGCCAGACCAAAACATGGCACAAATTCATGAAGTCACTGACAAATGGACTGAGTCATGTTGGTAGGTGTAGACTACTTGGTTGTGGACCACGAGATGATAACAACCGATGGTTAGAGACCCTGAATGACATGGTTCAAAATTGTTTGCAATGGTGAAGATGCATCCACTCTTTGTATTCTCCTAAATTCTAATCTTCTGAATTCTTCATGTCCCTTTCTTCTCCTTCCAAATCTATTTCACTGGATTATACGCTTTGAATAATATCTTCAAACCCTAATCTTTCCGATTACTGCTTATGCTTTTGCTAGCTCTAACACCATGAGATTTGAATCGAGAATTATATCTCTGTGCTAATGTGGTATGGCAACTTGATCTGATGTACGTACGTACGAAGTTCTACGTTGTTACTGACTGACTGAGTCAACCTTTGAATTGATCAAGTCACAAAAGATATTCATTCAATGAACTCTTTAATAATTGATCATCGCTATAAAGGAAAATCAGCATACATTCCATGAACTCTTTAGTTTTCCATTGATTTGTTGAGATCCTTCTTTGATTTTGTTTATCTTCTTTCTTATTCTTTTGTTTTTTCAGTTCTTTAATATGAGTTTCATTACTGTTCTTTATCGCTATTTTGGTTTTCCCTCTTGTTTGATGCCAGTGTATTAGATTGAAGTGTTCACGTAGTTGTTCTACATTGTTGCTTTTTATCTATTTATCTGAATTCATTGTTTTGCTTCAAGCAACAATCGTATACTGTAGGTATTCATCTGTCAATCAATTTGGTGTATGTTTGTGGGGAGAAGGAGGTTAGACGTATTAAAATAAAACTAATATTGTTTTATAGTTCATTAGTTGAATAGTCCTGCGAACAGAATGCTCATATTTTTATAAATAGTTCAGAACAAAAATCGTGTGTAACCTTGATAATTGCACTTTCTAATTTCTGTGTCTTGTTTAATTTATGAATAAATTATTTTGACTGTAATTTAATTCATTGGGTATTTTTGTTTTTAGGTCGTGGGATACGACTACATCATATCGGTAGTGAGGTTTACCTTGAATGTTTAAGTGATGCTGCAGTTTTTGTTCAATCACCCAGTTGTAATCGTTTCTACAGTTGGCATCCAGCAACTGTTGTCAAAGTCCCACCAAGTTCGTGATCATAAATATTTTTATTTTATTAAACCTCATTATCATTGGATCTTTTGTTTGAAATGTTCTATTTCTTGTGTTTTCAGAGCACCTGATTTCATCAAAATTAGTGTTCACCATAAATACGGTCTTATATGCTTTAGCTTCCAAACATTGTATTATTATTATTATTATTATTATTATTATTATTATTATTATTATTATTAGTAGTAGTAGTAGTAGTAGTAGTAGTAGTATCATTATTATTGTTCGAACGGTAAACCAACACATTTTGCTGTTGACCATGAGCGAAATCACGAACGACCTTGACATTTCGTGTTTTTTACTAACCAACCAATCAGCACGAAGATAGATTAAATGCAAATTTTCTCCGCTAAAAATATGAAACCTGGATATATGCAAAGTGTTTTTCTTTTTACATGGTTTAGAAATATTTCTTTGTTCACGATTGGCTTTTTTTGAAGTCAAGAAATTTTGTTGTACGGTGTACGGGTCAGTTTTTTCCTGGATTCGGTCATAAACAACTTTAAATTCTCTTTATGAACATTCGTTAATGTTCAAAGGAATTTGTGTGATAATACGGTGATCTGGATATCGTACTTTTAAATATTATGCATGTTTTACGAGGGTATAGATAAAAAATTATACAGTTTACTTAAGGAGTTCACTTTAAAGAAGCTAAAAAAGGAAACAATCCTCATTGATCTACATTTTGAATACAACTAACAACAGTACCAGTATTGTACGCGATAGTTTTGCTCATCGATTCTAAGCATTTCAGACACGTTATAAAGTTGTCTATCAGATGAATGATAGTTGGTATTTTGTTTCGAATCTAGCGGTACGGTGTAATTCAACGATCCAATTTCATACACTTTCAAACCAAATTGCATCGTGACTGAAACCCAACTTATCTTTTTTCACTTTTCTTGATATTGATTGCTTAAGGTTGGTTATCTTTTTGAATGAACTATTTTTTTTGTTTATACTACAAGGCCATGGAAACAGTATGAGTGGTATTTCAAGAAAAATGATGGAAGGTGGAAAAAAATTTCTCTTCAATTAGTTTTTTTTATCATAGTGTATCAGTTAGTCATACACAACAGAAAATTTGGTGTTTGTTTAGATCATTTCAAGTTGCCATAGTGCGTTAAAATAAAACAATGAAATTGTTTAGGAAAATCCCAGAGTAGTAGAAGTATTGACAGTATTAGTGTTTGTAGAAACGAATCAGACACAGAAGATTAGTGAAATTAAAGCAAATGTTTTATAAGTTGATTTAAAAACTTAAGATCTAAGGTAAGATAAAGAGCATATGCACCTGCTCCATTGTGAACGATTTTGAACCATGTTACCCAGTCTTTAACTATTGACTACAATAACCGCACAGACTCCAACTAGGTAGGTAGTTTTCACCTAACTATACGGCTCAGATCAACAGCCAGTGAATTCGATGGACGGATTTGGCGTTTCGTTTCTTTCAACCAACTTCTACACCATTCATTATCACCTATCAAAGTAGGTGGTGGATAAACATACGTAATATACGTCCTAACAACCTCAACTAGTGAAATTTTACTGCATCACTAATCAAGATAATGAATAACATAATGTATACTTGGTTCGTTAACATTAGTGGTGGGGAGATAAAGTCAAGGGAGAGGCGCTAATGGTGGGGATAGAAAGAATATCGAGAAGTGATGAAGGGATCCAATCACGAACAAGATAGTCCTTAGTAATGTTAGATGTATGAGGACAGTTGTCACTTCCTGGTCGCTCAGACCTCTGAGAGATATTTTTTCTTGATGGATCTGAAAAAGAAACTAGATTAAGTAGTGATCTGAGTGACTTGGAAGCGTGACCGCAAATCCCGAAAGACAATTATTTAAAGCCGGCCATACACGGCCTTTTTGTTGGAAATTCCGGAGGTAACATGACAGCCTTCGGACCTTGAGATGTTGGTTTTAGTCATAACACTCTCCAACCTACCTGCCTAGCTTGGTAGGAACAATCGTTTTCATCATTACAAAATACATGTTCAATCACCACGTCAGTGTTTGCTATGCTGTGTTTTCATCATAGCTCTCTCCATATATATTGCTTACACCTGTTACTCCCAGTGGAGTATATATTGATAATTATTTTCATTAGTCGTTTATCGGATACAGATTTTTGTACTTAGCTCGGAGTCATATTCCAAGTTTTAGAGGTAGCGATACTACTCGGATGCTTAAACTGAGGTAGCTCGAGTGGGGTTTAAACTTACAACTTAGTTGTTGAAAGTTGAACACCCCAACCACTGAACCACAGCTTGACTTCAGAGTAATTCTGGAAACATAGAGAATAATTAGACATTTCACATTAAACACAATTCAGTTTTTTCTTTTGATTCGCGCTAGCCTAGTTATAAAGCGTTATGTTCCTTTATTATCATAAGTGTAAGTCATAAGCTAATATATAAATTTCGTATTCATATGTCAAACAGACGTCGTTCATATACGGACATACCAGAATATATCATACTATAAAGTGGAAAACAAGTTATAAGTGGCTGTGAATAGGGGGGGTTGTAAGTAATGGACTGGCAATATATTTGGAATAGTAAGTCGTATGACAGTAGTTGATGGGTTAGCCGAAAGCTTATACTAAAGGTAATACATATACATGATAATCTAGATATTCAGTAACTATATAACAAAATTATAATAAATAATTATTCGAAAAAAACCACTTCGAACTTCTAAAATACGTTTTTTCTTTTTCTTTTCAGAGTGTAATTTAAAACTTTTTGATAGTGCAGCATTTGCTAGTCAGTTAGCTGATAATATGTCACGTAGTTATGAATCTGTCTTTTCACTAACTCATATGTGTTCAATACGTGTTAGTTTTGTAAAAGGTTGGGGAGCAGAATATAGGTGAGCTAATTTAGTTTGAATTAATATCTGGTGTTTTGCTACATTTATAATTTATTATTACTATTTATGAATAAATGGTTTTATTGTGGACTACTCAATTGAGCTAGTGTAATGATGACTCCAAGTAAAAGTTACTGGACCAAGATATAGGTGAATCTATCTACACTTTGGTACAGGTGTACATCTAACTGGGGTCAGTCAGCAGCAACGTAGGACTTCGTACGTACGTACGTCAGTTCAAGTTGCCATACCACATTAGCACAGAGATATAATTCTCGATTCAAATCTCATGGTGTTAGAGCTAGCAAAAGCATAAGCAGTAATCGGAAAGATTAGGGTTTGAAGATATTATTCAAAGCGTATAATCCAGTGAAATAGATTTGGAAGGAGAAGAAAGGGACATGAAGAATTCAGAAGATTAGAATTTAGGAGAATACAAAGAGTGGATGCATCTTCACCATTGCAAACAATTTTGAACCATGTCATTCAGGGTCTCTAACCATCGGTTGTTATCATCTCGTGGTCCACAACCAAGTAGTCTACACCTACCAACATGACTCAGTCCACTTTTCAGTGACTTCATGGATTTGTGCCATGATATACGAGCAATGTTTCGAAGGCACCTGTGATCGAATACTAGTAACCTACGAATATGCATCTAGCTGAAGAGTCTCAAATGTAGGAGGTAACGCGCGTCCTTGTTTCCTATTCAAGATTCATCAGTCAGATATACCAGCATTTGAGTGTTGACACTTACACTGTTACTCAAACCAAAAACGCCCTATTTCTTCAAACAACGATGCGTTCTTAAGGTTCCTTCTTTGTCTTTTCTGTTTTTTTATCAATATTTAGAATTTTTATTGGCCAATCACTGTTGGGATGAATTGTGATGTGTGTTTTGACTTTTAGCCTGGTTAATTATCACGTGACTTATTCACCAATCGGAATACGACTTATACAATCTTAGCACTGTACCAAACCAATGAAATATCGATCGGTATAAGTAGCCCAGTGTCCTTAATGGTCCTTTTTCCTGCCTTGACCTTCCTGTTTAGTCCAGAACACCGATATCAGCTTCCACTATATGAATCATTTATTTCAAACATACGTGGTTTATATACAAGCCAAGCAGATCACATCACATCATAAAGTAGAAAATAAGATTTGTACAAGATCAAGCCGAAAAGTGGCTATGATTGTGGGAAACTGTAATGAATAATAATGAATAGTAAATCGTATCATAATAATGTATAGGTCAAAATAAAGCTTATTAATAAGTGGAATATAAATATACATAATGTAGTCACTTAATAATCATACAATAAGAATATATGTATAATAATTGATCCCAACAGTTGCCATTCATTATTTTCGTCGGGATATAACAATCTGAAATATCATCAAAGGAAAAAAACCAATAAATAAATATAATATTGTCATATTTTTTAAAAGGACATTTCTAAATACTTTGTAGTTTTTTTCTTTTTGGTAGAATAATATACATTTAGCATGTTTATATTGTGAATCCTTTTCAACTAAACTATAATTTATGAACAAACTTTCAGTTATACTAAAGTAACCATGAGAAAACTTCAACCAATTGCAAAGGTTGAATTAGGATTATGAATTAGTACTAGGAATTAGAAGTTAAGGTTAAGAATGAAAGTTAAACTTTTCATCATGAATATTGACATGAGCTATAATGCCAGTTAATCATATGGATAAATGAATTCCATGGTGGTCTTGCTTCAACTGACTCATGATCTTAACCATTGAAATTACTATAATATCCACAAAACCAGTCTAAAATAGAATAGTTGATGCTTTAATTCTGATTGGTTTATCCAAAAATTATATCCCCACCTTTTAATCGTTAAAAAAATTCCCATTATATTAAAACATAAATATATGAACGAAAAATATTCTTTTCAATAATTTCTCATCAGGTTCCCACCTTTTTCTTATCAATGATTAATATTTTTTCACGTTAACAGAAAACATTTTTATTTAATTTAGAAGACAAACAATAACCAGCACACCATGTTGGATAGAAGTACATTTAAATGGACCATTAAAATGGCTTGATCGTGTACTTCGACAAATGGGTTCACCTACACTTCCATGTACATCAGTGAGCTGAGAAAATTTTTTTTTGAAAGAAAACAACTAAATCAGAACACACCTAATCGATCTCATCCACCTATTTTATTGTATTATATTATTACTATTAATTAATAATCTTCACGGCTGGTAACTAAACACACATACATGCACACGCACACAACCGCCATCGACCCCATCATTATCTGTTCGTTACATATGTTTTGTTTTTAAAATGTCTGTGTTCTACTTTGGTTTCTCCGACGGGATAGATGTAAACGAGAAAGATTCACTACTGATGAAAAAAATGTAATAAACAATAGCAGTAGTATATATATTACTATTCGTATCTCTTGTTTTAATGTTTAATATATAAGTTTTTAGATGATTCTTCGTCAGTATATTGAAGTTAATTGTCATCTTAGCTAGCATTTACGCTATACTTAAAAATAATGATATGATTGAAAATTATGGCGAACACTTAAAGAACGGTGTAATATATATACGTATACATATATATATGTACACTTGATCTAGGAATAATGAATGAATGAATTAGATATATTTCTACTGAATTAGCAGCAAAGATAATTTTATTGAATCTTTTTTGTTTCCCATAGATTTTTTTTACTGATTTGCCCTTCCCTCTTTTGGTTATCCGTTTCTCTGGCTTCTTAGTATTCTATTTCTTTTTGTTGTTTTTTTGTATTTCAGTTGAGTCGATATTCTGTGTACGTGTACTAATACTATTACCACTAATGTTTGTAATACTAATAATACGAACTCTGAATGATGATATGTTAGACAGCGTATGTTAAACAGTAGTAATGTGAATGTATTATTTCTGTCTATGTATACACATTTATTTATTCATTTTGTTCGTTCTTCAAGTTGATTATTCGTTGGTTTGTACAAAAGTGTAATTTTCTCTTCTTTTTTTCCTTTCGAATAGTAAATATTGCTTACCCATAGACAGACAAACGAAGCACATTTAAGTAAACAAGAGACTGTTCTATCTATTCACCCAACTTTAAATTAGTGCACTTTTCTTTTTGTTTTGCACGATCGATTCTTTGTTTATTTTGCTTATCTAAGTAAAAACACCCTGTTGTGGATATTATTTTTCTAAACTAACGTATGTTCTTCTTCCCCTTTTCTTTATATATATATACGCGAACTTCTTTTTTGTCATTCAAAGTTTTACTGTCATCGTCGATCATATTACTTATAATTATGTTGAAATTCTTTCTTTTAAAGAGTATTTAAAAACGAAAAAAAATGAAATTTTTTGTTTGTTTGACAATAGTTCGAGTAGGAATAGATGGGTTGGGGACCTTGTTATTCACTATTCGATTATTATTATTATTAAGTAGGTCGGCCTTTTTTTCCCTTATCATAGGTAAAAGTAGAATCGTATTTTGAAAGAATTCATAATTTAGTGTATATGATAGTTAGCAGCTTTGTTTTTGTAAGTTGTTTAGTTCAAGGTTAAATGTTGATTACTTGAGTACAATTATATTCATCGAATGAAAATAGATATTTTCAAATGATTGATTTTGTCAAATGAATCCACACTTGTTTGTGTAGCGAAACATCATCTTCTTATTAAAACAAAGCAATAATGACTGGTGTATTAACTAGACGTTTCTGAATTTTAGTTGAAGCCATTAAAAAAATTTTCTACTCTTCCTAATAACGGGTCATGAATGTAACTTAAAGCAATTTAGAGTGTAAACACAAGTGTACCTGTAGTTTCATTATGGAATACTCATTTCCCTCAATTCATTATTTTAGCTGACATCTTTTAGGTGGTCAGAAGTGAATTCTCCGCCGGAGTATCCATTTTAACAAGAATCTTGGGCACTACGAATTCGCTTTTCACTGATGATAAAAACTGAAATTGGCTTACCTAGTGATTTCGGTTGCTCACGATCAACAGTTTGTTCCCCATAACCATATCGATTGTGATACGTTTACCTCTCATTTTACCTTAACTGGACAAACTTTATTTTTTTTATCGATATTTAGCTGTATGAGTTGTTACTAGTTCTTCGTGGTTTACAACTGTCGGTCTGTGAATGAACCTATAAAATCTTAATCACTTATTCCATAAGCTTCCCTTTGTTTCACAAAATGAATTGCCATGGTTAGTGGGCTTTCATGGGTAGTAACACTAGTCCACATATGTATGGCTCAGGACTGCGCATGTGAAACTGCAGTCTACTCTCTACTTGACTTTTTTCGTTAAAGTGCGCTTCAGAAAAGCTACCGTGTTTAAAGAAAGAATATTTTATGAAAATTGGCATCTCAATGAAGCTAGAAATTGTCGAAGTGTGCTGAGAGGTATGGTGTTTCTTTGATAATGAGTACATTTCATTTCAAACAACTGAGGCAACAATTATGCTAAATTGTTTTGTTGTGCATGTAGTTAATTTAGTTTCGCGACACCCCTTTTGTGTTTAAGAAGCCGATATTCCATTCCAATTGAGAACATTTTAAGAAACTTACCTTGGTGGATATAAGGAAATAAAGATTAACACAGTCAACCAGACCTAAGCACTTGAACAATGTGGCCGTTCGTAATCACAAGCGTAATTGGAAGTACAGTATAAAAAACCTTGACAATTAAGTTACCATTGTAATGTAAGCCGAAGAATTCTTTTGGAAATACAGGTCAAAAATACACAGTATCCAAATTTCACATTGATTTAGATACTATATTACCAGTAAAATGTAAGTAGACAAATAAAAAAATTATCAAATGCTTTATTTTTGATCTATGAGTCTCAAGTAGTTTTTGGGTTTGTAAATTGTAAAGTAACACAAAAAAAAACTGTAAACGAAGTCATGTATGAATAAGATCATCGTTGTTAAATATATGTCAGAGTAAATGCTGATTATAAAAGAACACAGTTATGAAATAAATGCAAGGTTACCATCTTATTGAAAACAAAACAAAAAACGAAGAGATATAGAATTACAAACATTTCATGAAGTATAATGGAGAGTGAAATGCGAGTTATAATGGTATATCAATAGTTTACAGTTGGCTTTTGTGTAATTCTGATCACGTCAACGGAGGATACGAAAAATGATAATAATGTTAAATGTAATTTTAAGTTAAAAGAATCACAGCACTTTCTGATACAGCATAACATATCGCTATCATCAATCATCCTCTTATTCACATTGGAAAAAAATGTTTTAGAGAATTTTTCACAAATAATACGTCAATTTCTTTTTACGAGACAAGGTTATTCATTGTTCTAATCTTTATTATTATTATTATCAAAGTTGCACTTTTAGCCGTGAAAATACAACTATCAAAAGAGAAAAAGGAAAACAAATCTACCCGACCATTGTAGACAGTCACGTGTCTTGGTGGTTGGTTCGTTTGTAGGAGGTGTGCATAGAAACGAAAATAGTTGAAAGAATATTCTTTCTTAATAATGATAGTGATCTTCATTATCATTATAATTAAGATAATAAATGCTAAAATATTTTTACTGATGAAGTTAGTAATAATAAAAGAAAAAAACAATGATAATAGGATAACGGGACAAAAATATATGAAATGCATATAACACATGAATATCTTAAGAGGAATCCACATTGATTACCGAACCCTGCCTACTTTAATCTTTTTTTTGTAGCATTATTATTTCTATTCTGTATAAATCCCATTATGTTCCACAAAACAAATGCATAAAAACGATTATCATCACATTTAACATATAAGCATTAAGTTGAATTGCGTTATGCTTATTTAGTATTCGCCATCATCACAGAATCTTGAATAATGATTAAGAATATGTGTTAATTATTACGATAATAATAATAATAATAATAATAGACAGTAATCGCAGTACTAACAAGAGTAATGTCAATAAATATATAGATAGTTGAATGTAGAAAGAGTTAGGAAGTGATGTTTGAATATAGAATTTTATAAGGTATATTGTTTTTGTGACAATACATATACACAGATAATATTTTTGATTCAGAGAACTAATAATTTGTGTACAAACTGTATGTATATGAAGATTGTAAAAAAAAATTTATTAATGATAATGAGATGAATCTATTACTGTTGTTTGTATATCAGAATTGTTTGATTGTTTCAAATCAGATAAGTGTCGATATAATACTTCAGCATCTTCGTAAACTTCTCTAAAATGAATAAAAATAGAAATTCAATAATAGAGGTTAAATTAAATAGTTGAAAATAATAGACTGCATTTGTTACGAATTTTTCTCAAATAGGGTACTATTGAAAACCGAGGAGCACTGAACAGTTGTTTTATATTTGTGGTCAAAAGCCTTCAGCCTAACACATGTCTTCTATTTTCAAACTTACCGCTCGCTGCGGAGCATAGGCCGCCCACCAGCACTCTTCATCCAACTTTGTATAGCATTCCTCCTTAGTAATGAATATTTTCAATTTCCCATTAGAAATCAACAGACAGACATTATCAACCTAGAACTTAGAACAGAAGTGTATTGACCTAAGTTGCCGTACTTGATTAGCAAGACTAAGTGGAATAAGTTTTTCCACTCCCCTAGGTGGATCCTCCATAGCCACCAACCCTGTTAAAGCGTCGTACATTCGCTTTTCGTCCTCCCAATGTCGTAAACAACACCCCCGACGCAAGAAGGCAGTGAGTAGGGCTTCTCTGACAGTGGCTATATACTCATGGCCATGTGAGAGCATTTAGAGAGGGAGAGCTGACTCTCCCTACCCTCGGCCGTCCCGGATCTGCCGTTAAAATACCATCGTGGTCGAACGTGGGTAAGTATGCGAATGTTCTAAAACTTGGTGAAGATTGAATATTCTCTGAGGCTATCACAGGAGGGATTTCCTTTCTTCTTATAGACTTGGACGATCAGCGATCAATACCAGCCAGATGAAATTACATTCGGTTTCCAGACTTAAGCTAATATCTCGGTCAACTTAACCGTTAAGACTGGACCAACATCCTTAAAGATCTCTGGGGTTAGGCCTCCGGGGGTCGAACTTAGGGTGTTCAGGTCTTGTGGCAAAGACCTAAACATTAGAGTTACTGTGACGGCATTCAGTGTTACAATTTCAACTCCAGTCAATGTGACGAATAAAACTTACAAGCTAAATCAATTTCCATAAAACTCCTTCAATTTAATTAACTTAATACGTAAGGTTGAACTGATATAAACTATTTAGATATATGCATTCTGGTTACACAAAGAGTAAACACGGTTTTCCTTGAGTTGAAGATAATTTAAAAGATTCACAAATTTGCAAATGGAATGTATATATTTGTGTACTATCTCTTCTGGTGGATAGTGGAAGTGAGAAAAAAACTCAAATATTTATTCATGCTTAGTAGAATAAAGTTTCTTGTTTCATTTTAACTATAATGATTAAAAATCTTTCATATTTACCAATTCTCTAGAAATGAAAAATGAAAACATATTTCATGGTAATTAGATCCAATAGTCGAAATTTACTTGATCATGAAGTTACTCCATATGAATTTGTTTTATTTTTTTTTACGAAGTGATAGTTGATCGTATTTTAAACAAATATTTGTTCATTTCATATCCCTACTGATTAAACACACCAGTAGTGGAAAATTCTCAGTGTACGGACCATAGATATGGTTCCAAAAAATTTTATTCATGAGTTTAGAATGTAGAAATATTATTGTCCATATTTTGAAGACATCAGAAAAATCAATTATTTCAAAAGTATTCTAAATGATCTGTTATTTAATAATTGTGAAATACATAGCGGTTAAGTTAGCAAGTATATGTGAGTTCATTTGTAACGAGTTTGTAAATTATTCTTTATTATGTCTTCTACTTGACTACAGTTATCATAGTAGATGGCTATCAGCACTCGGACGCATCGAAACTCAAAAGACAGAAAAAAACAGGAAAAGCGGTTGAGTAAGTGTGAATAATGTACAGAAAAATAGGATTATAGTTTTTAGTATAGGTTATAGGATTACTATAATCCATCCAATCCTCAAGTAGAAAATTATACAATTGTTCAAACACCGTATCCCACATTTATACTATAGAAAATTTCATCGAGTTCTGGTTGGATGGGATCGCTTTGGTTCCCTTAGAGCCTCCGGAGGCTTCGTCGCGCTTTTCCTAAGTCATCTCAACATTCTTTGTGAAATATTTTTCGCCATATTTCACAGAAATTCTTAGCGTAATTTAACTAGGAATAATTATAAAATTAGGTGTCTTGTATTCGACATTAAATATCACCTATTGAATTATTTCATAGATTACCATATAAATTTAAAATCAAGGTTAAGTATGAAAGTGGAACTATTAAACCCATTTCTACATTCTGACTATAGGATAGTCTGCAATTAGTGTTCTTATGCAATGCTTACACAAATAACTAATGTTCGGATGACAAACCAAAGTTTGCGCTTCAAATTTAGTTATATTTTCTAGCAAACAACATAACACAATTAATTTTAGTTTTAATGAATGCATCATACTGTGAATTTTTTTAATGAACTGTTATCTTTCCGATAAACATGCATCAGTTACCATCGAGGTTTCAGATATGTGTTTTGATGACGAATATCAACTAATATGAAGTTGAGAGCTTCCTTCAAATTGCCTCCAAAAACCTAGTATTCAAGCAAGTGAACACAATGTCCAGTTATTTAGACTACTGATCATACTGACACTTGATAAATGGAATTTAATCAGCTTCGAGAATTAGACATATGCCGCATAGGTTGAAACCCAGTGATCAACCACTATAAGTATATCAGTCAATGTTTACATCACTCACTGGCAACTTAAGTGATTGGGTGGTGGGCAGTTTGAATTTCATGTGCAGCATCAATTTCCCCTTACGATAAAATATAAGCCATACTGACAGATGACAACTAGTACAAGAGTTGCAATTGCAGGACTTCAAAAGTTTGTCTTAGTTTAACAACATGAATCTCATGATTTAATAGAAACTAATTCACGAACACCACTCATGACTTTCATCTTCTCTGTCAATCTATATTATAATCTAAGATTATGAACAACAAATGTATAAAAATGGCTACACATAACAAAAACAGGAAGTATATATATAACTACTGACCTGGTTGTTTTCTGTTTGGAAGTAACATCGTCACAAGTTGGTGTATACTAAAATGAAAATATTTGAAAATAAACAACACTGAGTTCAATTTTTTGATATGATCACTTGACACAAATCGATGAGCAAAATAGTTTATATGTTGTACGTCCTGATTAAAATTCTACTGAACCAGGGAGCCAATATGATTATTTATTACTAGACCAAGAGTGAAGTGTAAATATTTTTAGAGTGCCGTGTTTATAGACAGTCCACAGAAATTCATAGTTAGAGTCTTTGAATAAATAATGTCAAATACATGGAGCATCGGGTGTTTGCACTAATAAAATAATGATTTATTTTAACATCTCAATTAGTAGAAAATTGAATTTTTGACGTTTTGTATAAATTGCTTCTTTAAATAAATAACCAAATAAAATTAGTATAGAGAAACATTGAAAAATATTTAGTACAATCAAAACAAATCTGATTGTTGAGATCATGAGTCAATTGAAGCTAGACCATCATGGGAAACCTGGGTGTACTGAACGACCGTTTCGTCCTATTATTGGACTCTTCAGCAGTGCACATCCGCGAGTCCGCCTCGCGAAATTCGAACACAGGACATATCGGTCTTGCGCGCGAACGCTTAACCACTAGACCACTGAGCTGGTCGGCATCCAACGGTGTTAATGTCCAACTTCAACTAATCCACGAAATTGAGTGACACATCCACCATTGTCTTCAGTGAGTTACTATCTCACAACAGACCCGGTTGAACTTCACTGGTCACAATAGGACGAAACAGCCGTCCAGTGCTTCCAGGTTTTCCATGGTGGTCTAGCTTCAATTGACTCATGATCTCAACCACTGAAATTACTATAATATCCACAAAAAACTCTTCTGGAATAAATCTGATTGTGTTGTCATACCAATCAGGTCAAAGGTGAAATAATATATGTGTATTTGTGTACATCTGGGTGGCTGTCAAAAATGTGATATTTATAATGTCTAGGATTCGAGTTAAATTGTATGTTAAGGATGTGAGATTTGAACAGATTAAATGTGACCAGTAGAGCTAAACTGTGTCGGGTGTACAGCAGGTATCCTTTAAAGACACTGGAAGATGGTCGCTCAATATTAGTCAGTCAGTCATCTACAACGTAGGACCAGGCACATATGTGCATCGGTCCAGGTTGCCATACCGCGTCAGCACAACAAGATGAACACCGGATTCATAGGAGTGGTTAGGTCAAAGGTAGTAATATGTAAGAGAAAGATTGCATATAGAGATATAGTACAAGATGAAAGAATTGGTTCGTAGAAAGAAAGATATGAAGCGATTTTAATCTCTTAGTTTAAGGGAAGACAAAGAGTGTATACACCGACGCCATTGTGATCGATTCTGAGCCATGTCACCAAGAGTCTCCAACCATTGGTTACGATAGTCACGCGGACCCCAACCAAGTAGTCTGCATCTACCAACATGGCTCAGACTAGAAGTTAGTGACTTCAAGCACTGATGCCACGTTTTGGTTTGGCCGCCCCTAACTTTCTTCCAACCATTTTCAATACCGGATAGCATTGCACGTCGTGGTAATCGGTGTTCAGGCTGACTAGTACATTACTGGATCTCCCCAACAATGACAAATAAACAGATATTCAACACTATTTTTACCAACATACTACTTGTTTTAAACCAGATATTCTCAACTATTGAGTAAAAACATGAATTACTATTCAAATTCAAATCAACTTCCACTTTTGTTATTCAAGTAAACAGTTTAAAAAAATTTCAGATAAAACAAAATAGAGAAGTTGGTGGTTAAATGACTTAAGATTTAGTCAGCACCGTGTAAATTTCGGACACATTACCCATTTCTATCTCGGTTGGCCGGATAGTATCATTAATCTACAAATAAAAGGAATGACTTAACATTGAGTACACAAACCTATAAAGTGAGTTGCAACAGTCAAATTAAAAATTGTAGTACGATGAGCCACAATTTTTAAAGCATTGGGTATCAAGTTCAAGTTTCGATCTAAATATCAGCTGAAAAAGTTCCAAATGGAATAAATTTCAGCGCATCTTGAATTTCATCGTAAACATCTACCAAAATAACATATCCATACAATGAATAAAATGTTGTGACGGAATACTGAATATACTTTATGGATATTAAATTAGAGATAAATCAATCTTACCTCCATAACTGATTCATAAGCAGTTGAACATGAGCTGATTTCAATATCATACAGACGATTCACAGCACTTTTAGATAAACTAGTGAGATGATGTTGGTTAGAAGAAGAGATGGAACGATGTTGTGACTGTTGTTGTTGTTGACTTGTTAACTCTTTAATTATCAGAAGGGGTTTGTGGAGTGATTGACTTGTGGTATCTGTCAATAATAATGGCATACATGATAACGGACTATTTAAAGATGAATTTGGTAAAAACGATAAATCAGCATACTTTGTTGTTTGTAATTGTGTTAAACTGGTATCTTCAGGTTGATTTACAACCACATTTTCTGTAGTTGTTTGAATGATATTAGACTGAGGTGCAAAAGAAGAGGGATATTTCGCATCTAGTAATGTTACTTGTTCATTACTTGGATTCGATAAATCAGATTTGTGATCATTAGTGTTATTTATTTGAATATTATGTGCAGTATCATAGATATGGATTGGAGGTTCAAGTCTAAAAGTGAATATTTTAAATATATTTATATATATATACCTTGTAACTGAAAAGCTATATCAGTGTATTTTGCTAAGGATACACAGATAACGGGGAATTACAAACTATTACTAATAACTTCAGATCGATTGGACAAATTACTCATTATCTTAACTCTGTAGCTTAGTGGATAATGTGTTTAGAGTTTGAAGTGATAGACATTGGTTTCGAGTTTCAACATGAAAATAATAACACTGAAATATAGGTGCACGCCTAGGAGATCAGTTCCAAATGAAGCGAAATATGCATCCTGCATTCCACAGTATGAATCTACATCGAATATAATTTATCATTGTTTTAGGAAAACCGACACATGGGTAGCATTACAATTATCACACAAATCATTACAATCCAAAATAAAGATTGTCTTGCTTTGGAATCCAGGAAGGGCGTTTCGTCCTGTCTGAGACTCGGACCCAGTACCGTTCGTTTTGATCGAGTGAACATTAACTCTGAGATATAATTAGATTCACATAACGAGCATCAAACAGGATGAATAGCGCGTCTTGGATTCCACTATTAGTTACCACCCATCTCTGCTTATATTGTTGATCAATGTTGATTGAGGGTTTCGAATGACTTTTAAAAAAATTAATTAAACACCTTATTCTGTTTTGGATTTCATTTCAAATTATCTAGCAGTTTGATATAAATTATAACCGTCAATCGTTTTGTTATTATTTATTCACTTATAAATGAAAGAATTAAAATATAATAATAACATTTGATTGAGACGGGTCAGAAGGTTGATATCAAATCAGCATTTGTTGTGTTGTACAAAAGGCTTCAAGGACGTATACTAAGGTTTATTGAAGCCTTGGCTATACGGAAATTGAAACCCCCTTTATGTGTTCAAAACAATTTGTCCTTACACTTAACATACCCTGGTAATACTATTTATAATCCAGAGTGGTAATCACATTTGTTTTTTGTGTACTTTAATATTTTTCCTTTGTTATGACTTATCCTTAACCTGTCTAGTTGACCTTTTAATTTTCAAATATAAATGTTCTTAACAAGTATATGTGTGGTCGAGTGTTCGAAATGTATATCACATAATTCTGATAAACTACGTCTTCTCATTGCACTATCGAAATTTATCTAAAGAACTAATTGTTTTAAATAATAATAATCACAAGATATGATGTTAAAAAAAAAGAAAACCAACTACCTTTCATGAAGTGTTGCATAACAAGATGAACGTGATGATCTTTCGATAGGATTAGTAATTTTGTTGTTTGCACAAAGTTGTAAGTCGATTGACTGATCCGATTGAGGTTTAAGCAAATTCTTTGCTGAACTTTCTACATATAAATTATTTTGCATGGTTGAAAGTGTATTTGTATTATTTGGCAAATTGATTAAACAATTATTTCTTTTTTCAATATCATTAACATTTTCACTAGACAAAATTGTTTGGACGTTATCATCTGTAGGTAATTGAGATTCTGTATTATTTTCGAAATCTGATATTGTATTCTGATCATCAATAGTACGTCGATGAGTAGTTGTTTTAACTAGACTAAAATAAGAAAATTGAAGAAAAGAAAAAAAAGCAATAAAAGAATGTTTTCTTGTTTTGTAAAGATTTTGTATAGGTTGACAGTAATTGACATTGTGACTTGAAATCAAGTTGGAGAATTATTCAAAATTGAAAAGCCAATGAACATAATTAATTTTTGACAGTTTAACACTCCTAAAATAATGTTCATTTACAGAATCCAGTGAGATCAAACTAACTATTTTCAAGTTACATTCACTGTAAGCGAAATAATATCAAGTCATGGAGACTGAAATTGAGTGGGTTCATCTCAGTGTAAGTGATGTAACGCAATTCTCGCCTGGTGTATCTGTTGGGATAGTTTCACTCTCTTTTAAGATTATGTTCTCTAAGTTAGGTTTACGTTGATATATTTGTTGGTTGCCAATCGATTTTGATACCATAATTCTAGGAACTGTTTTGGCATTCTTGGAGTTTCCTTGGCCCGAAATTGCGACGTTTAACCAGTCGAATTCATGCCCATGGTTACTAGAATGCAATGTTATTAGTGAAACATATTATGTAACCTCAGTGCTAATCTATGTTCATGTGTGAATAGGCCAAAGGAACCTTCACTTCGTCCAATGTATTATTTCTGGCAATTGGTGCAATTTACTTGATAGATGACATCAGATTTACCTTTTCGTGATCTGTATCTAATGAAAAGAAATGATTGTGTTGATTTGTGAGAGACGTTGAACGAAAAGTATTTCAGAATCATTGTAATGACTCTTGAGATATTTTCCCACATATGGTAGGATGATCTACTTCTTGGTTTATGAAGTCGGTTTTTGACAGTGAGTTTATTTGTAAAAAATGTTCTCGCGAAGTTGTTGGGGCACCCATTCTAAGCAAGATGGATAGTTGACGAGTCCCTTTAAATTTTTGGGCAGCGAGATTACTGCAGCGCGTCTCCACAATGCATAGCTTGAAAATTATACGATAGGAAATGTTTGCTTTGTTTGAAATGCTAGCAATTTTTTGGCTTTCATTTTGAAAAAGCATATCAATTAAATTTCGAAAATGCATGCAGCCGAGTAGATGATTTTACCAGAAAAAAAAATCTCTCTGATCTCAGAGATCACAATACTTTTAAAGTCCTATACCTCAGCTAAAAATATTATCCATCATCGCAAAAGATTTATGTTGATAATTCTAAGTTCTGTTGAAGATTTGGAAGAAAATTCTTATGGTGAGTTGACGTGTTTGTGTATGTAGCCGTAAAAGTGCATTGGTATGGAAAGTTCTAAATTAGAACAAGAAAGATGGTTAGTACCCAGTGAATTCTAGTAAGTTTCTGGCTGATACCTCAATCAGTGACAAACAATCTTGAGTACCTATGGAAATACTCAAAATAATTTCTACCTCTCTCCAAAAAAGTTACAATTCGCAATTATAGGGTGTTGTGAACATTACTGAACTTGAAGGTTCCCATTACGGACTGACTTAGATTTTTAGTGGGTATCTAGCCTAAGTCAGTCTGTCATATAAAGCCCTTGATAATTCCTCAAAAGACTTTGGAAGCCTGGAAATTGCTAAAAGTACCAAAATAAGTGTAGTGGCGTTCAGATATGCGAAATGATGAAAAAAAGTTGAGTGTTGTGGCCACTTATACGGATCCATACAGTTTAACATACTACTTATAAGTGAGTTAGGTAAATAAACTTTAAAGTGATTTTCTGTAAGAGAATTAAATTCTTTATTCATAACCATAAAGTTTGGTGAAAACAACAAATCAAAGTTTTCAATGGACTAAATATAACCGAACAGTAAACTCAATAACAATTGTAAAAGATCACTTCATTATTTAGCGTATATCTATATACTATAGGCGGACATCAAATTGTAGATAATAGTTTTATTAAATCAAGACAATAATACTAACCTGAATAATTTACTGATTACAGTTTTTGGATGTGTTTTTCTCACACGAACAGTTTCATTATCGATACATTTTGCTATAATGTAAAGCGATGAAAAAAATTTAAAGAAAATGCAACTCAACAAACCAATAATGATAGTGTTTGTACTGAACAAAATTTTGTGTATGTTTTACATTTTATTCAAAATGAAGAATGTATTCAGTAGTATATTAACTAACAGAAAATCGATTCCTGTTTACAGTAGATTCTGTTTAACTATGTGGATAAAGACAAGCAACTAGCCTCCGCCTGTAAGCTCTTCTAGGGCTACTGCCAGTCCCAAGATCAGGTAAAAAAATGAGGACTGGGTGTGGGGTCGGCATCCCCATCCCGTAGAAAACAATCCTGCCAAAAAAAACGCTAAGCAGAATAAGCAAATCAAACACACTCAAACTCTGACGTAGAAGTTGAAGGGAGAATTGTGACGCCTCATGGTGAAAACCGAGATCCTTCGGAAGTCACGAGGCTGATTGCCCTTCTAGCAACCAGAGGAACAACTAATCTAGGCAATATTATTTAACTAGCCTCGGTCACTGCTTATACATTCTTATTAAAGTCAGTATAACCGCCTACGAATATCCATAAATTGTGAGTATCTTAATAGATTTGAAAAAAAAAACATATCTTAACAGACAATTTTTATTTTCATTTCGAATCGTTGGGTTAATCAAGGACTAAGAAAGTGCATAAATTGATTATGACTGATTGTTAGACGTTTTGTGTAATTTAAAGGCAGTATTCATCACGGATTAAAATCATATAGAGAATGAATGAAAATTGAGAGGTAATAGAGAGCAGTTTGGTACCAATTCAAATATTTTACACAAAATAACTCCATACTCGTATATATATATGTATAAACATGAACCGTTTGAAATTGTTAGATTAAGGGGAAGGCATTGAAAACAAAACACACATTCATTACATTTTTTAGAACTTTTTTGTTGTTATTTTGATTCAAATTTATACAAGAAACTGAATGCACTAAACCAACAGAGTATGAAACTAGGTTGTCATAATATTTTCTCCAGAAAAAAAACGATATTAGTGATGAACTCAATCTATAATAAAATAATCCCATAAATTTTTAGGATGAATACAAGGTGAACATATTTGAACATATTCTGTAAACAATTCTGTGGTATACAGATGAATTTATGTATTATACTATTGAATTGATTTATGAAAAAAAACATATATCGCTGAAATTAAATGCAGTGCATTTTATTTCCACAGCTGGAAAGGAAAATATGTGAAGAGTCAAGTAAGGGAATTTCTGTGTTACAATTATGCAATCATATCTAAATAAAAATGCTATTTCTGAGGAATATTTAACTGGTTTGATATTTGTACTGGGACTTCTGTTATACCAGAAAATAAGAAGAAGATGGATGACTAAATTAACAATGACGAAAAATTTAGAGAATTACAACGATGGATAAAATCGGAGTAAAGTTGAAAGAAGTTCAATGAAATTATAAAAGAAAAAAACAAGCTGATGGATAAACTTATTTTGTATTGATTGTTTGAATTTTCCTATTGGCGCTTAAGATTGCAATTGGTCAATCTCTTTATTGCATATGTGTATCATGTGAGGAATACCTCAATATTCCCACTGAATTCGCACAAAATGTTCATATGCCAAAAGAAAATGATCAATTGCAGTCCTAAACATCAATGGGAAGAGTCAAGTAACTAATACAAATTAATTAAACTTTACCCTACTGTACAAGCCAGTGGTTATCTAGACAAAGCAACTAAGTGGATAACACGATGGCATTTGAAGAGGATGGTAATTGATTAGAGTCCTAGGGTGAACATAAACTCTGTGATGCAGGTACATGCAGCTGCCGAGTCCAAACTAGGACGGAACGCCCATCTTGGATTTTACTGCTAGCCATTATCCATCCATCTCAACTTGTAGATAGACTTATTCTAATAAATTCCCAAATAGATTTGATGAAATCCAGTCCCGAAAGGCTTCAGAAAAATAATAACTGTAACTGTTGATAGAAAAGAAAGGTGAATCTATCTCGTATTTCATTTCAAGTCAATACAAGGAACTGTGTATCTTTCTGTTAGCTGATACTTTGATTATGTAGCTTGAAACTCGATAATAAAAAAGTACGGATGAAAAAGCAACTTACTGATAAAGTTTATTACTGTAAGGATGACTGGTGAAGGACAAAATCTTTCACAGTTCATTAATAATCATCAAGATTTATAAACGAAACTTGCCACTAGGTAAGAAAAGTTTGGCTGTAAATAAAGTTTGTTTATTGTTTTCCTTAATTCGATGTCAAAAGCGCATTCAATCAGCATACTGTATACAGGTGATTGGTTTACAGACAGAAAAGTCAGTCAGTAAAGTATGGACCGATACAATATTTCAGAGCGATACGCAATCTGTTTTTTTAGGACTCAGGAGATTATGAATGATAATAGAACTAAGAAAATGGTCTATACAAAAAGAAATCTTATGGAGCTGTATAAGAGCATCATGAAGCAAATCTTTGGTTCGATTTATCACGATTGTTTGACAACCTATTCATATCTATCACCATTTGCTGCTGGAAATTGAATGTGGGAGATATTATCTATGGCAAATTTAAAATATTTTGATGTTTGTTACTGATGAGTAGCAAAACTTCATAAATTGAGACTACTGTGGTTTATGCTGACACTTATAAGTAGTATATAGCGGAAATAGGAAGTGGAAAGCCTAGCAGCAGAAAATTGAATTGAAGAAAACAGAAAGGAAATCAGAGAGCAATCAAAATAACAACATAGAAAAATAATGGAGTAGGTAAAGTACAATGCAAAGAAGATATGCAAATGTATTTAATGGATGATTTTCATATTTTACTAAGCCACTGTATGTTTTGCATAAACAATAGATTGATTGTCCCTGACTGAGTGTTTGTTCACTACACAATCACCTAATATCAGAATGCCATGACGACAATGATATAACTCGATCGACAAAACTCATCTGTATAAAGCTACAACACAATTAATCAGTGACCTAAAAATAAATAACATCTGGGAAAGTTATTTTTAACATCTCATTATCCCTAATTTCAGAAGAGGAATCAAACTATTGGAAAAAGACAGTTTGTGATAACTAAAATTGATAGTGTGAATAAACCTGATAGGCATTGATCAATCTATGGTAGAAATCATAGCTGTTGAAATAGAGCAATGGAAATGAATGCTATTTGATCGAGTAAAATGATAAGTAGACGATTTCCCATCATCTCTACTAAGCAAGTGTAGTTTAAAATGGAATTTAAATAAGTCTAATTAATCGAAATGCAAAGCAGCATTAATTAAAATGATTGAAAAAAAGAGACAGACACCAATGGTTTTACTTTTTTTCAGTCTGCTTAATTGCTACGTTCACGACTGAGATTCTTTTAATACAAACATGAACTGACGCGAACTCTGTAGAACGGCAATTGTCATATACAACACTTTATCAATTACTCTCAAACGATAAAACACAGGAAGATAGGAGTGCAAAAAAAGATTGATATTCAACGAAGTCAGGATGGTCAAAATTTAAAAAGAACAACTCCGCATATATCTATAGTAATATGCAATTACTTTGAGACAATAGAACTACCAGACTAAAGGGGATATAACAGCAAAGGTCACTGAGGAAATGAGAAGCATAAAGATATAAAGCAGTTGTATTCTTACCAGATGAAACCATGATTTATTAGCAAAGAACTACATAACCTGAGCTCTCCTTAGCAGTAATTTAGGAAAAGAAAAAAATTATCCCACTCACCATTTTGTTTATTACACATACTATCAACATCAACAACGGAATCATTCCCTTTTCTTTCTATATTTTTATTAGGTTGTTGTTCAACATTATTATTATTATTTTGTAAAGAAGAAAATGAATTCGGCATATCGACAATAAGTTGTAGTTCTTCTGAGTTCAACGCTGTTCTCGGTTTTAACACTGGACCATTCCATGAGGCTGGATCAAATGGTACAAGTACCATTTGACTAAAGTCTATTCTCGGTTGACGATATACAACACGATATTTACATTTCTTATCAATTAAATATTTACCATGTGTATAGTAACATTTATGTAAAGTGGATTTATTGGTTATTGGATTTTTCTGAATATTCATATTTAATATTTGGTCACCAGCAGCGCCAGAGACTGAAGAAAGACTTAATTCACTGAGTAAATCTAATTTATAACTATAACGTTCAGTTTCAGGATCCGACAGAGGAGGAGTAGCATCATAATTCAAATCGGAATCATCTGTTAAGTATTGATAACATATCATCGATGACTTATCACGATCCATATCATCATCACTGTCATGATCATCATCAATAACAATGTTATCATTCGATCGGTATTTACATAAATTATGTTGATAATTACATAATATTTCTGTTGATGACGATGAGTAATTCGATAATCGTTTTTTTGAATCTTGATCTGAAAGTGTAAAGACATGGAGAGGAAGACAAACAATACAATGATAATTACATAAATCATATCATTAGTATTTACCCATAAATGACAGTTTTATTTACAGTTGAAAAACAAAATATTTATTTACATAGGATTGGTAGCCAGGTACAATATCACTAACCTCTCACTGAGGCTGTGAATCATGTTGGTAGACTATCTAATTTGTGTCAAGATGATAACTGAGATCGTCGGCTGGGTAGCATGATTTGGAATCGACCACAATGGGACGGATGCAGGTACTTTTTATTTTGCTGTAGATGTTGAAGTCCAGTATATATTCATACAAACATTCCCACTTTATCTTTTCGAATTACGTTTTCAATGTTTATTCTTCTATATCATTGCTGCTACTACATGATTTTGATTAATTAGGCGTTAACTTTGTTGATTTCATCTTACCGAGTTATTTTCTTCCGCATTCATTTTGCAGAGTTATCATAATAGCAAAACTTTATTCCTGAAATGTTGTTACGTTCTTTTGAATAAGATATATTTCACAGTGCATGAGCAGTAATACGGGTATGCTTTATGGCATAGTTATTTTATAATTTCAGTAATATCCACTCTGAGAGATTAGACATACACCATTCTATCTTCAATGACGGGTGATGCAAAACTGTTACCGAGCTTCGGGGTGGATAAGAACATAGAACGTATGAGATATCACGTAATTTTTGATTGTAATTCCATTATCGCGCTAAAAAGCATGCAATATTCATCAATATTAGCCCCTAATATTTATCATTCTTCAAATGTATAATAGTTACTTAAGGATGATGCCATCGGGCTGCCACATGAAAATAATGAAACGCGGAATGACAATGCAGATGAGCAACTTGTCTTTTAATGACTTTCACAGATGCTTAGAATAATGGAAACGGAAATGGGAGTACTATCAACAACATAAGATCAGTATAGTCTAAATTCTATAAAATGAAATTTTTAGAACTTTAGTAAATAGCTTTTAGAACTAAGCTGTAACAGACATGTTGAAATGAGGAATGAGTTTGAATAAAACACATTCAAAGGTCAATACACATTAGACATTTTATTTATTTAACTGGAAGACTCTTTACAAACGTGTACATATAGAATAATAAATAGTTAAGAAACCGTCAGAATGAAAGTCACAAAACCAGTAAGGCCTTACTTCTCATGATATAAAATTTAAAATATATAATAATTTATCTCTGCATATGGAGTAAAAAAGGTGATTAAAACCAGCCAGCAGGAAACTCTAGAACTCTGTTTTGTGTTAATAGAGCGTTTTTAGTAAGGCAAACCTATGGAGCTTCTTGTGGTTTGCTTACTCACACAGATCAGTATCACAGTCTGACGAATAACTATTAAAGTATTCAGGTCACGATTAATCTCATGTAAGACTGAAATAATTAAAATGGTTGATCACCGAGCAGTAACTGACATCATGTCCATCCAGTCATGACACAATTTTATCAATGATCAGTCAGTCAGTCAGCTACAACGTAGGACCAGGCACATATATGCATCGGTTCACGTTGCCACACCCCATTAACACAACAAGATCAACACCAAATTCATAGAAGTAGGCACTTCATTGTTAGTGATGTATGTAGATAAAGATTAAATATAGCAATATGATATAGGGAGAAAGAATTAGTTCGTAGAGAGAAAGGTAAGGCAATTTTAATTTCACCGTTTAACGGATGACAAATAGTGTATACACCGACACCATTGTGATCGATTCTGAGCCATGTTACCCAGAGTCTACAACCATTGGTTACCATAGTCGCGTGGACCCCGACTTAGTAGTCTGCATCTACCAACATGGCTCAGATCACAGGTTAGTGACTTTAAGGATTGATGCCACGTTTTGGTTTAGCCACCCCTAACCTTCTTCCATCTGTCTCCAACACCAGTCAGTACTGCGCGTCATGGTAAATGATTCAACACAGTGAATTCAATGTTCAGTCACTTAAATTGAAATATTGCTGCTTGGTCGGTGGAATTCAATTAGGATTAGATAAATATGATATCGTTAACTAATTAATTAGTGGTCAATCAACGATAATTATGACAATTAAATATAACATAACTAATTGCATATAACTCCGCCTGTAGCTCTTCTAGAGTTAATGCCGGTCCCAAGCCCGGGTAAAGGAGGAGGGTTGGGCATGGGGTTAGCGTCCCCATCCCGTAGAAAACTAACTCGCTAAAAAAACGCTTACCAGAAAAAATAATCCAAACCATTTTAACTCTGCCCTGGGAGTTAGAAGGTCTTCATTTAGAAGAATTATGACGCTTCATGGTGAAAGCCGAGCTCCTTCGGAAGCCACGAGACCGATGACCCTTCTAACAACCAGAGCAAAAGTTTTTATAGGTACATAGAACGTTCAAACAATGTGGGAAACTGGGAAGACCAATCAAATAGCAACGGAAATGAGGAGATACAACTTAGCAGTACTGGAGAAAGATTTGCAAATCTATGTGCATTCAACAAATTGGTCATAGGAGGCACAATATTTCCACACAAGCGTATACACAAGGCTAAATGGATCTCACCGGACCACACTACAGAGAACCAAATAGATCATATTTGCATCAACAAAAAATTCCGAAGGACAATGGAAGATGTGAGAACCAAGAGAGGTGCTGACGTAGCTTCAGATCACCACCTAGTTGTAGCCAATTTAAAACTGAAGCTAAAAAAGTACTGGACAAGTGGACAAACAGCACTACAAAGGTTCAATACAGCCTTCCTTCGAGATACTGACAAACTCAGCGAATTCAAGATAGCTCTCAACAACAGGTTCCAAGCCTTTCAAGATCTACTGAAAGAAGAAGAAACTAGTATGGAGGACAACTGGAAAGGCATCAAAGAAGCATTAACTTCAACGTGTCAAGAGGTTCTGGGTCTAAAGAAGCACCATCATAAGGAATGGATCTCTACAGAAACACTGGACAAGATCAAAGAAAGGAAGAACAAGAAGGCAGCAATAAACAACAGCCGAACATGAGCAGAGAAAGTCCAAGCACAAGCTGAATACATAGAAGCAAACAAACAAGTGAAGAGGAGCATTAGAGCCGACAAGAAGAAGTACGTGGAAAAACTAGCAACGACGGCAGAAAAAGCTGCTAGAGAAGGAAATATGAAACAGCTTCACGATACAACGAAGAAACTAGCAGGGAAATACAGTAAACCAGAGAGACCGATCAAAGACAAAGAAGGCAAGCCAATCACCGAAATTCAACAACAGCGTAACAGATGGGTAGAATACTTCGAGGAACTCCTGAATAGACCGGCCCCAACCAATCCACCGGACATCGAAGCAGCACACATAGATCTTCCTATAGATGTCAACCCACCAACGACGGAAGAAATTAGAATAGCCGTCAGACAAATCAAGAACGAGAAAGCAGAAGGACCCGACAACATACCAGCTGAAGCACTGAAATCAGACATCGAAGCAACCACAAGCATGCTTTACCTTCTATTCAAAAAGATTTGGGAGGAGGAACAAGTGCCGATGGACTGGAAAGAAGGACACCTCGTCAGGATTCCAAAGAAAGGAGATCTGAGCAAATGTGAAAACTACAGAGGCATAACACTACTGTCAATACCAGGGAAAATATTCAACAGAGTGTTGCTGAACCGGATGAAGGATGCAGTAGACGCCCAACTTCGAGATCAACAAGCTGGATTCCGTAAGGATCGGTCGTGCACAGACCAAATTGCAACACTACGGATCATCGTCGAACAATCAGTTGAGTGGAACTCATCACTATACATCAACTTCATTGATTATGAAAAGGCATTCGACAGTGTAGATAGGAGGACATTATGGAAACTTCTTCGACACTATGGAGTTCCTGAGAAGATTGTCAACATTATCCGGAACTCATACGACGGACTACAGTGCAAAGTAGTACACGGAGGGCAGCTGACTGATGCATTCCAAGTAAGGACAGAAGTCAAACAAGGCTGTCTACTCCCTCCCTTCCTCTTTCTTCTGGTGGTCGACTGGATTATGAAGACCTCGACATCTGAAGGAAAACACGGAATACAATGGACAGCTCAGAACCAATTAGACGATTTGGACATCGCAGATGACCTAGCCCTCGTATCCAATACACACGAACAGATGCAGATAAAGACAGCCAGTGTAGTAGCAGTCTCTGCATCAGTAGGCCTCAACATATACAAAGAGAAAACCAAGGTCCTCAAATTCAAAACGGAGAACAGCAGTCCAATCACTCTTGATGGCGAAACTCTGGAAGATGTAGAATCCTTCACATACCTGCGAAGCATCATCGATGAACAAGGAGGTTCAGGTGCAGAGCAAGGGCCGCATTCCAACAATTGAAGAACATATGGAACTCAAAACAACTGTCTGTCAACCAATATCAAAGTCACAATCTTCAATACGAACGTCAAAACAATCAGTTCTACTGTATGGAGCTGAAACTTGGAGAACTACAACAACCATCATCAAGAAAGTACAAGTATTTATAAATAGCTGTCTTCGCAAGATACTCAACATCCATTGGCCGGATACCATCAGCAATAGCCTTCTCTGGGAGAGAACAAATCAGCTTCCAGCTGAAGAAGAAATTAGGAAAAGACGATGGAAATGGATAGGACATACATTACTCAAATCATCAAACTGCATCTCGAGACAAGCCCTGACTTGGAATCCTGAAGGGAATCGAAAAAGAGGAAGGCCAAAGAACACATTGCGTCGGATAATAGAAGCAGATATGAAAACGACTAATTACAACTGGACGGGGCTAGAAGGGATTGCCCAGGACAGGGTTGGATGGAGAATGCTGGTGAGCGGCCTATGCTCCTTCACGAGGAGTAACAGGTGTAAGTAAGTAATTAATTGCATATAAACGGAAAGCACAGACATATCAACTTACCTAAATTACTATAACAGCTCTTTGAATTAAGATAGAATTTTTCATTATCGCGATAGTGATGATGACGACGACGATAATGATGATGGCTATGCTCAGATGTACCATTTGAATTAGATGCAGGAATGGAATCTAAATGTTTAAGAGTTGAGCTGGTTTTATTGAAAATCGGTATTTTCACATTTATTTAGGATGTGGAACACATAATCACATCCAGAATTTTATTTTCGACCAGGAAAGCAGTAAGAAAGAAGAAAATAATGTATCACGATCATAGATATACTTCATATCATTCCGTGAGAAATATATACATCTATACTAATAAGTTAAACTGAAGCTTAGTTCACCAGTTTTTGTCAAACTGATATGAACACTGAACTGTATACGAAGTTAATAAATCAACAAACGACTTTTCTGCTTCATGCTTACTTAAATCTCATTTGTAATTCGGAAATTCTAGTTTCAACCCCAGTATTTTGAAAAAAATGTTAATAAATTGTAGTTCTGACGAACAAACTTTGATTGAGAGTTTAGCATTGATATTTGCTGATATCTGATTGGTTGTTCTCGAACTTATTTCCCTATTTTCGCAGTCGCAACTGTCATATTCGTTGTTATATAAACGGAATTGTTCTATTATAATTTTTATTTCAACTGGGAATATAAAAACTCTCCAGAAAGTTACATCTTTCTTCCACATTCACATGTGGATTAATAACTTTAGGACGTTGTTGTTGAGTACTAACCGTCTGATCTATCTAGTTTGCATAGATCACAATTCGTATAATAAAAATCTATCAATCGTTCGTAATTTGTAATAACTGTAAGCTGTCTCAAACAATGATAACATTCAAGTAATTCGATTCCGATAAGCTTAAATTCCATGGTTAAAAGGTGGTACTTTCACCTATTGGGGATTCGTGTAGTCAGGTGGTATCCCCAGTTTTAAAACGACATACAAATGAACACAACATTGCTTGATTTGTATAAACATCTCCCACTTCAATCAATGTTTATATTCACAATTAGGTATGTAAACCATGTATTAAGGCGTGAAAAAATAACAAAGAGTTCAGCGAAAGACACTAAGTTCACTGATGAAAGCTGACAAAAATAATCTAATTCATAATATCAAGAAGACATTCATGAATATTGTTTGTTTATAATAAAAACGATGCTACTCATTAAAAGATTAGTAGTATAGTAAGATTTGTCGAGATTGTAGAATTTTCACACTTGAAATCACGAACTGATCTTGGCTCGACCATCATCGAAGAACTGAAAGAATTGTAAAGACTCATTGGCAGTTAGCATTCACGACCTCGTATCCGAAAAGAAAACTCCTGGAGTTGAAGTGGTCAGTGGAGTTCGACTACGTCGATTGTGAGACAGCTTCCACTGCAAAAAATGTGTAAAGGTTGAGGAATATCGTAAGTTGATTGACGTTAGACACATACACCACTGGATTACGTCCTAGTGATCAAACGTTCATGCACGAGACCGAAGGTCTTGGGTCCGATACCCGGTCGTGGATATTTAGTACTGAAAAGTTCTATATTGAGACGAAACAGGCACCCAGTGCTTCCATGTTTTCAATGACGATTGAACTAGGATCAATTCGTGATCGAAACTATGAAGAAGATTGGCGGATCTAAAGAATAAAAGGTACTTAAAATTTCTGAAGGTTCGTTTATTCACACAAAAATTTCCCAGTATTTTATGGGAACTATCTGCCATAACTTAGATCATTAAGTGAGGATCGATGAAGTTAAATGAATAAAATTATGAACAACAAAGCTAGGTCAATTGACATTTTTATTAGGCGCTGCATATAATATTCATATTGAGGTACAGATTATTTTAGAATGTGGTGTCTTCTATCCGATAGATTAGAAAACTAACTTGGTTGATTAAAAATTTAAAACTTCTACGAATCTTCCCACTAGTGATTCAGTGGTCGCTGCCCGCTCCCCACACTATAAGCAAACAACATTTTGAAGATAAAATTAGATAGATACGCATAGACTTTTTATACTGTCCTTAGGTACAACTCTGTCAAAAATTATTCAAACTACAGCTCTAAGAATTTCATTTTATAGAATTTAGACTATACTGATCTTATGTTGTCGATAATACTCCGCATTTGTGACAATACATTTGTCCCATTTGTGTTTCCATTATTCTAAACATCTGTGAAAGTCATTAAAAGACAAGTTGCTCATCTGCATTGTCATTCCGCGTTTCATTATTTTCATGTGGCAGACCGATGGCATCATCCTTAAGTAACTATTATACATTTGAAGAATGATAAATCGTAGGGGCTAATTACGATGAGAGAAAGTGATCGATCGGATAGATTAACGCGGTGAGAGTGGGATTTTAAGTACAAAGTGAATAGTTGTTTCTCAAGTTATGTTCATGTCTAACAATCTCAGTAGTTTCGGTTAATATGTATATTGGAGAACAGATCACTTAGATTATGATTAAACTGAATAAGAAGTATTGATAAACATGAACTAGAGGAACACATATAAGCGAATAATACTGTTTTTAACATTACATTGGTCATAATATTATTGTGCACTTACCAGGAAGTTACAGGGATTTGAACTTTTTTCACCGCGCAATAATCAATGTTAACTGTTTTTGAATCACATTGAAAACTATTATTAATAATGAGTGAATTAGTAACAGTATTACAGTTATTAGCATCATCATGATAATTAGTCCTATTGACATCAATATTTTCATCGTTGTTTTCATTAGTCTTTGTATTACATATTAATAATGATGAAGAAGCAGATTTGGTAGTCTGAAGATGGAATGCAGAAGGGAGAGAGAGGTGGAAAATAAAGAGAATTGTTTTATTATTCTTGATAATTTTAGCATTACACTTATGTATAAAAATATGTCCGTGTACCAGTTAATTAAAACGATGACATTTTTAAAATAGCTTGACTAAGGAGAGAAAGAAACAAAGTTGGAGCAAAAAAGAAAGGCCGGTAACAATCAATATGCATTTCCTTTTCGTCATTCAAGTTTAATAACTAGATTCTTTGTCTATATCTCTCATTTATTCACTCATCCATCCACTCTCTATCTGCTTATTTACGCTAATGAAATGCCAAAAAAATTTCCTAAGTATTTTTTTCTCATTTATAATTTATTACATTACTATTTTATTAACTTGTCTTAATAAATTAATTAATTAAAAGAAATATCCGAATACATTGAATAGTAAAAGCATTTTTTTTGAGAGAGAGAGCGCAATTAACCTTGTCATCGGTAAGGGATGTTGTGTTTCTCTGGACATTTTTTAAAGACAATCAACAATCTTCAGTCAGTCACAACGTAAAAACTGTACATGTGTACGCCATACCCGATTAGCACACCAAGATAAAACTGTTAAACCGAATTTCAGAATAGTAGAGGTAGTAACAGTATTAGTGGTAATAGGAAGCATTATGCATCGAAGATACGACTCGAAAGGAAAATATAAATGAGCTAAAGTTTAAAAAAACGTTGTGAGGAATATAAAATCTCAGAATTTCAGGGAAGAAGAAGAATTAATGCACCTGCACAAGTGTAAATAATCATTAATTAAATCATCAAAACGGATCAATGTGGAACTTGTGAAATCATTCTAAAATATTAATTTACATTTGAAGTTGATGTTGATAATTTTATTTAGGGTGACAACAAAAAAAACAACTTTCAATTAAACTACATATTTCAGCGAACGCAACATCACTGCATGAACCTATCTACCTGAACTACAAATTTGTTCTATTAATTGGAGCTTTCTCTGTGAAGTAGTCGATTAATAATCTACCAAGTACGCGGTAAACTAAATTCAAAAATAAATTAACATCTGTTCACAATAAATAGTCATTGCGATTTATTGACGCCGATAGATAAAAAATTCCTCAAAAAAGTAATTATGTAAACACGACGGTTGAATACAGGTATGATTCACATGAAGAATTGCCACATAAAAAGGAATGTGTATAATCTGAATATCAATGTAAGAGGTTGGGATACAAAAATGTCTGAGAATTTGATCCCAATATTATTAAACTAGTATATCAATGTAATAAGTTAGTTTTATTTTGCGATACATTGATATAAGGAATATGTTGAACGAAAGTCAAACAAAATTTCTTGCCGATCACCATCTTCAAATATTGCTTAACATCAAAATATAATCCGTAAGATGTTAAAGTCAATTAGATCACTGGTCAAATTGTAAATCGACCAGTAGGGTTCGACCACCAGTAAGGATTAAAAGAAACTAGACAAACATGACATTGAACACAATCAATAATGAATTATCACAACACTATAATAGCAGGAAATAATATTAGTCTCAAAGTAAAAACAATCTAATAACAAAACTTACTTAGTTCAGTCAAACACTGTGATGTGAAACGAAACACATTTTTATTTGCTTTCTATTTCATGTTTCTTTTATACAATGTCATAAAAGCAAACAACTGTTGAGCATAGAGCAATAACAAACAAACAAATCACAATATGAGAGAAGATTTGTCTCAATTCTTAGTTTTTTTTCGATAAGGATGATGATGAATGTTACTTATAGTAGGGTAGTAGTAGTAGTAGTAACGATAATACTATCTTTATATTCAATTCCATAGTAGAAAACAACCGATCAAATGTATACACATTAAAGTATCACCACATGTAAGTGCATACATAAACATTTTGTTTTGAATACTACGTGAATAAAATATCTCATCAAATGGAACGAGAGGGAGAGGCAAACAGTAGTAGAATCATCAAAGGAGGTCTTTCAAACATTTTATGGTAAGTAAAAAAGAAGGGGAATATAATTTAGAGTGAGTTAACACTACAAGCAACAACAACAACATTAGATTTGTATCCGGAATGTACAAATAATTCAATTTGTAAGGTAGATTATTAAATTCATTACTGAAAGTGAAAGAGTAAACAAAAATAGAGAAAAAAAAGGGGGGCATATGTAGGTGGTAAAACAAAGAGAACTTGTTGTGTATAAACAAAAAGAAAAAAACGAAACAAAAAAACAGTGTGACAAATATAATTTCAGTGCATCAACTCGATCTATTTATATGATTGCTATAGGCCATCTTAGATTGTATATTTATCAGAGCAAATAACATCTACAATTAGTAGTATAAATTTTAAGACGAAGAAATTAATTAGTATCGAAGGAGAATATAATTAATCGTTTGTCCTGACTGTGGATGTCATTGGCTGATTTCAGTAACTAAATAACTATAGAAGTGGTAATTACAAATGACAATCGTGATGACCTGATTTGAGGTTTAAAAATATTCTTGAAAAAACAAAAAAAGCCTAATCAGCTGATAGCATTACTTTTCTCATTAACAGATAAACAAGTAATGAGTATGAAGATAATAAAAGGAAGCCGCTAAGAAAACAGATGTATCACTATTAATGAATTCATCTCATAGATAACACAGTCAAAAGAGGGAAAGTTTAAATGCTCAAAGTCAATCATGAAATGAATCACAGCAGGAAAAAAATTCCAAAGTTAAATTGATGAAACAACAATTATGTTAAGTGTTTTCATCTTTTCTCTGTCAATAATCGGAAGAAAAACTCTACATAATGTTGTTTAATATGAGAATTAAAACAGAGAAATTAATATTCTTGAGAGTAAACAGACGAAAAACAGTTGAGCTTACTTTAATATATATTAATATTTAGGTACTGGAGATCACAATAAGTATCAGGAAAGGGTAATCGTAAGAAATACTTAATTAGTATGAAACAGGTGCATGCTTAGAGGAATAGAAGCGGGTAAACAAACCCACAGACAGACACGCTAATATGCATACGTCTTGGATAATAAAAATCGTAACAGAAAAACAGGTAATTAAAGCAGACGATGAATCAGTGTAGAATTAACACAAAAAGACATGCAAACACATATAAACACACGAAGAATTACAATGCATTATAGATGGATATGTAAAACAATGACCAGTAATGACTACATTTACTACAGATAGCATGATATTGAACAAATTATATAACATAGAAGTAAAATGATGAAAATGCAAACGACAAATGTTGTTGCATGCATTTATGCATACATATACACAGATATCCATGCAGATAAACAAACAAGCCACGAAAAAATTAATAAATGAACAAAAGAAATGATAAAAAAAGAGAGAAAATAAAATGTTAATGAGTTATAGGGATTACATGTAAATGTAAATATACATTTATATATACATAAGCATATATTCCTTAAATTGTAATTAAGTGATGAAACAAAACTACCTACCACACCACTGGTCAGTAAAAATGACAATTACATTTCCAGCAAGAGTGATACACACTAATAACAGAAATAGCTGTGATAGCAATAATAATAAAAACAGGAACAACAGAGCAACACAGAATGAATATGAGTAACACAATCAATGAACAGATGATTTTAACATGTTGCTTTTATGATTATATATATATATATATATATATATATATATATATATATATATATAGACCGGAATGTGATGTATAGTGATTGTTTATTGGTGCTTACTTAACAAAACAGATCAATCTTACATTATCCTTATTATGGTTTGACTAATGGATATGCTAAACTTCATGCAATGAAACTGATGCCAATATTACGTGATTGATGGAGACATACACACACACAACGCAGGACAAGTCAATCGAATTTTTTAAAAAAATGTTACTGATAAAAACATTTAAGCAAACAATATAATTAGCAAGTTTTAAACAAGTGTTAATGGAAAATTTTATATACTCACAGTTTCATGGGAATTATTGACATTTACAGTAGAATTATAAGTAGTTGATTTTAAATGCAAAATTTTTGACATTTCTTCATTGGACTATAATGAGAGATTCAAAGAAATAATAATAATGATGAAGGATTGTGTTACGCTTATGTAATATCATATACAAGAAAACATAGATATTACATAATATCGCACTGGTTAATAACAATAATTCAGTTATCTATACGTAAAGAGCATGTCAGTATGTTTTGTATTCAGTTCCTAAATGAGGCAAGAACTTGAGGTCATAAAAAACTGTTCGAATTAAATCGACTAACCAGTTTTTATCAGAAATGAACATGATCTATGCCAGTTTTTGTGATCATGTACTGGTTTAAGGAAAAAAAATTACATCAAAAATTATAAAATGTTATTTATATATACCATGTTTACACGATTAAACATTCAAAACTGATTGTTTAATCATAGCTGAACCAAATGGATAACTAACTATCATATTTAATGACAGCAATTATTTACGATCGCCAAAACGATCACACTCAATGGAGTAGTTCTGTAAGAGGTGATAACTTTCGTATATCTGGGTAGCATCATTGATGAACAAGGAGAATCTGATGCAGACGTAAAGGCAAGGATTGGCAAGGCGAGCACATTTCTACAACGGAAAAACATATGGAGCTAAAAGAACTGTCTGCAAGCCAACATCGAATTCATAATCTTCAATACGAACGTGAAGGCAGTTCTACTATACTTGGAGAACTCCCACAACTATCATTAAAAATGTACGAGTATTAATGAACAATTGTCTACGAAACATGCTCAATGTTTGTTGACTGGATACCATCAGCAACAACCTACTATGAGAGAGGACAAACCAGCTTCCAGATGAAGAGGAAATTAGGAAGAAACGTTGGCAGTGCATAGGAAATACACTGTAGAAATTATCGAACAGCATCACGAAACAAGCGCTAACTTGGGATCCAGGAGGGAAACGGAAAAGAAGGGGGCCAAGGAACACACTGTGTCGAGAATTGGAAGCAGATATAAAAAGAGTGAATAGCAACTGGAAAATATTGCCCAGGACAAAGTTGGATGGAGAACGCTGGTGGGAGGCCTATGCTCTTCCACGAGGGGTAACAAGCTTAAGTAATTAAGTAAGTTAGCTACACTCTGAAGTTCTAGCGAGGATCCATAACCACTGAACTTCAATCATTTAGAAAGTGGGGCAGTTACAAATTGAAGACAACGGAAGACGGTAGAGCCAGTAACCACTGCATATTGATCCAGCAGTCTTAAAGGTTATGGACTCTACGCAAAACAAAATCTTGGGTTCGATTTTTGAGAATATTGTGGGTTTGTACTGACGAAGTAGCAGGGCCGGTAGTTCCTAGTTTTTGACGATATCTCAACGGAGATTAATTCGTGTCGAAGGCAAGATACAAATTAAGCCGACCGTTACAAACCCCTTCAACTAAAAAGAAAACAATTATCAATTGAAGTGACAATAATACAACCTATGTGCCATGGAAGAAAAGCAAAGTATGGTTGTTTTGTTAATGAATGTTATCCACAAAGGAGAGTAAACAATTTACAGGGAAACAAAACAACTATGATAAAAAAATATATTGTTTGTTTTTCTTAGTATTTCCATTTGCATTTCCAAAATTACTTTGCCCCTTTTTACCACTATTTTAGCTATTGTTAAATAGTCATATAGGATTCGATTTGAAAATGATGAGCAAAATAATCTGTTTGTTTTTTCCTTCTTGTATTTCTGTGCACAAACACAGAAACAAACATACGAGCAAACGAATGAACGATATCTAGTAAAAAATATTAGAAGAATTACACATTACTATTTTATAACCAAAACAAATATATGTAAATTGAAAAATTGATTTGAAAAAAAGAAAAACGTACAGAACAAATTTGCTTTAAGAGGGATGGTAGAAATGAGAACAAAAAACTAGTTTGAATAGAGGTTATTCACCTGGTTTACACCAACGAGGTAAATATAATTATTATTGTAACTTTTGTAATTAACTTATAGAGTTATTATGTATTTTTATTGTATAATTATTATTAGAAGTATGGACTACTGTATTCTTATGTTTTCAAGTTTGCAAGCTTTCGTTAGGTACGTAAACTACTATTGTGTGTTTTTCTTTCCTTAAGTTAGTGATAATTAACTGTGAACTTATTATTCAGCTCCCTTTTACTTATGGCGTAGTTATGTCTATATTGTAATGTTACTTATATCAATTGAGCTATCAGTCGAAGGAAGGTCATTGGTCTTCTATATTGATAATCTAGGCGGATTAATCAATACTCCATCTAGATAACAACACAGATACTCCTATAATAACAGTTCTCTAGTACAGCTCCCAATACAACTCTAGAATATGTTCTTTTGCCATTAAATCACAACCATACTGTAGTAAGAAAAGGTAAGAGAATAATCATAAACAATGTCCAATGTATGCAGTATATGTTAAATGTAAGTTGGAAATTAGGGTTTGACGAATTTCTAATCATTTGGATAAATTGTTATCTAGTGAAATAACTGGAAAAAAAAGTGAGTATTAAACGAAACCCGTACAACTATTTGATGCATACCATATTTGGAAAAACGAGCAGTTAATTTAATAATCGATTAGATCTAATTATTTGAACTCTCAATAACGTTAAGGATAGTACAGTGTTAGTGTTAATACAACATTTGTTTACTACTGTACTTCAGATTACGATGAGCATGCCAACAGTAGAGATTATATATAATTCAGCGAATTTAAATAGAAAGGCATAACACGTTTTCCGAACTTAGGGTTGATGGTTGAGAAGAGTGGGTTTAAATAAAGGAAAAAGACAAGTTAATTGCACTCAGAGGACAATACAAAGTATAGATATCTATAATTGTAAAATGTTGGTCAATTGAGTATCTTGGTACCTGCGCGATTGTAACAGAATTGGGCTTTGTGTTGGTCAGTTTGCAAAGAGCCTGGCTGGTGTTTAATTATTTTGAAAACTGAATGAGCCATTTGTAAGTCATATTGAATTATATCGGTGAAGACTACCATAGTATCGATCAGTTGAAGTAACACTATGACTACTACTACTACTACTACTAATAGTAATAGAAATAAGTCGACTTTACCTTAATTATCCATCGATTAATCGATAATGCGATGAAAAGATCGACAACTTGCGCTTTGTAATAATTTCCAACATACATTAATGGTTATAAAATAAATACAACTTGGTATAGAGAATGCGAATGAAATAAGAATAAAACTGAAGTGTAATTTATATTGCACCAAATCAGAAACGGAAAAGACAATGTAAAAATTCGGAAAAAATTGAAAAAGTAAAGAAATAAAAGAATGTAAATTTAGATTACATTAGATAAAGAGAAGAAAACAAAGAATGGTAATTACGTGTCATTTATATTCTGTATTCAGCATAAAAACGATGTAATGTCACTTTTCTAGGCCATATCATGCTTTGCTTTGCTAGCGTACTAAAACGTATAATGAACTTTGAAAAAAAATCAGAACAATAAATGGGTCAATTAGATCTAATCCATTATTAAATTAACTGCTCGCTTTTCCAGATATAATAATAGTCATAATAATTATCATACCAATAATGATAATAGCACTCAATGACAGAAGCGTTTGAATTAACTTCTAAAAAATAAACCGACAAAAGAACGGAAGGTAATCAACATGGTTTTTTTGGTCACAAGTAAAAAGCAGACAACTATGTGGATCAAATGATGGATAAACATAGGGAACCAACAGATATCATACTGAATAATCGATAAACAATAATAGCAAACGAAAAACACAAAATATTAATCAGAGTTACGAACAACAGATTGTCAAATTATTCCCACGTTTCAACATACTATTGTCTAATCTTTATTATTTAATGTCTTGATGGGTGTATTCCGTTTACTAATCAGTAGAGATTTTAATTTTTCCGGTGTTGCTCATATTCGGGGTTACAAGTGATCAGCCTTTGTTGGCATATGACAGGCTCTGAGTAGATGCCTTGATATTCCCTTTTAATAACAAGTTTTTTCCAGTATATTTGAATTGCGGTTAGTAGTGGAATCCAAATACAGTTGTATATAACGTTAGGATTGATATTGTAGAGTATAATATTTAGAAATTAAAGCATACTATAAGGAATATATTTTAAACCATTTTTCAATACTGTAACTTAATACTTTCAAGTTTTATTATATCATCATGTCATTGAATCATTTGGTTTCAAACACCAATCTACTGTTTGTTATGGATGCAATTTAGAGATAAAGATCTAAGTAAAAATAAGTACATTGATAAAACTGTAGAGAAAAAATGTAACAATAAAAAGTTAGTGGTAAATAAAAGGTTAATTTAGACTGAGAAATCGTCAGTGTATAGAAGTCAGTTATTCAATCAATATAAATGCCATGAAACTTAGACATTCAATAGCTAAGTATTATGTTCACGCTTTAAACAGTTAAAGAATTCGTATCATCAGTTATTCAATTTACATAGCCAACTCACAGCATCTCTAACGTTTACAAAAAAAATTTAGTCGAATATTTAGCATTAAGACTGTAGCATGATTAATTATTACAGACTTCGAGTTCATTCAAGCACTAAGTGAGAGTGGTTGAAAAGTTATTGGGTGGCAAAAAATGATATATTGTAGTGAAGAAGAACACAGGTGAGGACAGCCAAATTGCATTTAGGACAAATTACAGAATTACTTGGTAAATTAGAAAAACCATATAGTAAATCGTTAATTTGCAAAATATCATTCTATCATATCAAACCGGGCTGTTGCTGTTGCAAACATCAATCCATTGTCTCGCATTTCATTGCTCATGCGATTTCTTACAAATTCCATTGTTTTCTCGCTCTTCTTTTCTTGATCTTCTCCATCTTCTGCTGCCAGCCATTACGTTCTTTTGACTCACGTTATATACTACTTATATCAATATAAGTAGCACGCACCACACTCGTCCCCCCTTTTAACAAGTTGCTGTCGTAGTCTTTCTGATCTCCGTACCGCTGTGTTCTTTGGTGCTTTTCGTGATT